TCTATCAATTTTCACAAAAAATACTGGAATTCCGACCAAGAAAGAGCTTATAATTATGGAAAATTGCCAAAAAACGATCAGAACAGATCATAATGTTAAACTATAATGTTCATTTCACCTAAAAAACGTATTAATATAAAATCTTATTCAAATTTGGACGAGCGATTGTAATTTTAAGATGATTTAAAAAAAAAAAAGATTCCACGGTCTGGTTTTTTTTCGCTACAAACATTTATATTTTAAGATACCGCAAATTTATTATTTTAATTTTTTTCGTCTTTTCATAATTCACAGACCAGATCATTTAACGGAAATATGTCGTAGTCAACAAAATATCATACAGACGCTATAATATTTTAAAAGTGCCTTAACTACACCGAGTATTAGCAATGCTAATTAATAATTGTGAAAAAAAAATTAAAAGACTTTTTGGCCCCCTTTTAATCGCTTTGGGCACCTAAAGACCATAACTTTTTTGGGAATTCAATTATTTTAAACAAAAATAATAATTTAAACTAAATTAGTATAAAGTCTGCAGAGAGTAATCAATGGAGAAATGAAATAGTGGGGAGACAGTTAAAAGTGATTGTTAATGTAATTTTGTTCTGTGCCAGGAACAATTTTTTCCTTCGGGGCACAACAGACGTCATCAGTCAACAAAACAGTGTCATTTTTCTGAACTTGATTGGGCTAATAAGCAATTATTATCCTTTAGTGGCTGAACATATTGCATCTGTTAAAGCAAAGTAAACTACAACGTCCCTCTTTTCTCTTCGAATACAAAATGAGTTGATTGAGTTACTTGGGCAGAAAATCAGAAATGAAATATTGTCAAACATCAAAGAAGCTAAATACTACACTGTTTTGTTTGACTGCACTCCAGATTCCTCCCATAAAGAGCAGATGACCCAAATAACTAGGTATGTTCGCATCAATGATGAAACCTGTACAATTTAGGAAAACTTTGTTGACTTCATTGAATGTCACCAAAAAACCAGAAAAAGTCTCACAACAGAGATCACTGAAAAATCAGAGAAAGATGCTCTAAAGATTACTGATTGCCACGGCCAAGATTATGACAATGGAGCCAATATGTCTGGAAAATACAATGGCGTCTAAGCTCACATCTGTTCTCTTTGTGAGTCATCAAGATTTGTTCCTTGTGCAGCTGACACTTCAAATTTTGTTGGTGTCCATGCTGCTGAGGTTTCCCCACTCATAATTACATTTTTTGGAAAAGTTCAGCCCATCTTTAACTTTTGGGAAGCATTAATGAAAACATTGACCATCTCATTAAAGAAAAACAGTGACACAAGGTGGTCTACCAAAAAAGAAGCAATCACATTATTGCCCAAACAAATAAATTATGTTCTTCAAGTTTTGAAATCTATTATCCACAATCCTATAACAAATAATGTCACAATATGCAGTGCAAAAGATCTTATCATTTAAATTGATTTCAGTTTTTTGTGTTTGTTGGATTTTTGGTGTCAAATTCTTTCATTAATTGACCAGGAAAACAAATTGCTTCAGTATAAAAATGTTTCAATTGACATCACAGCAAAAAAAATGAAAGCATTGAAGGCTTTCATTCAGAATTTGAGAGATGTTGGTGTGGACAAAATTATCAAAGATGCCGCAGAAACAGCCAAACATAATGGAATTGAAAGTGATTTTCCAGTCAAGAGGAAGCACAAAGTAAAGAGGATGGTACTTTATGAAGTTGAAGATGACTTTCACCTCCTCACAGCAGAAACAGAATTGTTTTTTATTAGTTAAACATTTTTAAGTTTATAAGTTTTTTATTGCATAAATTAGTTTTATATTAAATAAAAAGTAACAAGTCATTTAAAAAAAAAAAAAAACCCTGTGGTTTGCAATATCCCCATCCAGGAAAATAGCAAACTGATCTGGTTTTTATACTGGATAGGGGGGCACAAATAAAATAACAGTAGCTATTTTAAGCTCTGCATTATTTTTCAAATGTGATACTTTAAACATAATTTACAGAATTAAGAAGTCTTATATCATAAAGTAAATGTTTGATGTTTTTCAGAATTAATTGTAAACAGTTTAAGCTTTTTAAAAACATAATACACTAGGGGTATTAAAAAGCTTTATATTAAAAATAAATGAAGATTCTTTGAGAAAAAAAATCAAAAATTGTTACAACTTTAATTATTTGGTTGGGTTTTTACTTAATCATAATTCACTTCATCTTTTTTGAGCTCAGGCTCATGTTATGTGGCAGTAATGTCAGTAACTGGATATCAATAGATATTTAATATTTTTTTTGTAAACAGCAGACACAAACAAACCTTTAAGATCTGTTATCTTTCCTGGAAAAAATGCACTAAAATAATGCACTGTCAGCAATAATGACATCTTTAATGAATTTTGTGTAGTAATCTTCCAGCATGTGAAAAGTGTAGATTTTACTGCTCATTGGTATTGCATAAGTTTTTAAATAGCCTTGAGATGTTAAATAGTATTTTATGCAAGTCGCTTGGTAACAGGAACCAAATTGTTTAACTAGTACTTGGTGTGTTATAATAGATGTTTAGGTTTTAGAGATAGAGTGAAATCTAAAAATTAATTTTAATATAAATTATAATTCGTATCACAATGCAATCTTGTGTTTGACAGCATTATTACACAAATTGAATGGCGGTTTGAGTCTATGTCTGCTGTATCCTCCGATTTTGAGTTCCTCTGTGGGCATTCACTATCTAAAATTTCAGTGGATGAACTTAAGAAAAAAGTCAAAAACTTATTTCAGATTTACATGACAGATTTAGATTCTTCTGATTTTCAGTCAGAAATGGCAAGTTTTAAATATGAAGCTGCTGCAATGATGGACGACTTTGAAAAATCTAGCCCAATTGACATTTTGCAGCTCATTTATAAATATTCATTGACTGATGCTTATCCTAACATGACAATTACTATTCGCATCTTCCTCACCATACCAGTCACTGTTGTTATGTGTGAATGAAGTTTCAGTAAACTTAAGCTTCAAAAAAACTACATGAGATTAACTATGGGCCAAGAACGTTTGTCTAGTCTGGCTATTTTTTCAATTGAACATAAAGTGGTCGATAACCTTGATTTTGATGAAATCATTAGTGAATTTGCATCCAAAAAAGCTAGAAAAGTGAATTTGAACTGAAGTTTGTGCAGTATTTATGACAAATTGTAGTTTACCCTTGATATGATAAATTTTGTGATCAATAAATCCTTTTTTGATTTTAATTTTTTTTTTGGATGGTTGGAGGCGGAGGGACGCAATTTTCCTTTCTTGCCAGAAGTGCAAAGTCGACTCGGTACAGTCCTGAGTTTCCACCAAATAACATTTGTTGATGAGACTAGTGTGAGTGACTAGTGTGGAATGTTGATGAGACTAGTGTGGGTATAGTTTAAGCATCAAACATGTTTTAGCTAGAAGAAAAAAACTACAAAATTGTTGTTACAAGTACTAAAAGTGGTACCTTAACAGTAAATAATGCATTGTGTGCAAGTGGATCATCATTACCATCAATCTAGATATTTTCTTGTGTCAATTACTTGTGCATATACTTTTGCAAAGAGGCAAATTAAGAACATCAAGTAGAGGGAAGTCTTTCAGTTGTTTTTTTTTAATTTCACTATCTAGGAAGATTTTAAGAGAAAGGTGGGCTGGGGGTTTGGCAGCAATTTTTTTTTTTTTGATTTGGTCAATCCAGACATTTAGTAAAGTAAGGACACATTATTAAGTTTAATGATTTGTGACCAGGCTAGCCCACAAATCATAAAACTTTTTTAGTTAATTTTTTTAGAATATTAGTTATTTTTAGAATATTAGAACATTGCATGTTTTAATCTATGTAAATATGAAAGTAAGTCATATAATGATATTCCAATTTCATATCAATTTTAAAAGCCTACCTAATTTACTTCCATTTTTAAACAACATGCTGAGTTAAATATATAAACTTATAAAAAAAAATTCTTCTTAAAATATCTAAGGATGAAGTAGGAGGGTGGTGGTGATGAAGTAGGAGGGTGTACCCACTTGCAATGAAACTCACTAATGAAAAGATAATTTTCCAAAAAAATCTTGTCTCATTAAAACCAAAATCAAGATCACAAAACATTATTTGATTTAATCCTCCATTTTCACAAAATGTAAAAACCAATGTTGCAAAAAATGTTATATATCTAATTGAAAAGCATTTTCCAAAAACACAAGTTTTGCAAAATTTTTAGTAGGAGTAATTTAAAAGTCAGTTATAGCTGTCTTTCTAACACCACCAAGAATACTAATTCACACAACAAAAAAAAAGTATTATCTAATGTTTCCAACACATTTGTTCCAACGTGTAACTGCCGCCAACCTTCACAATGTCCTTTGCAATGTATGTGTCTTAGTAAAAAAATAATTTACATCTGCAATGTAAAAACATCACCACAGGATAATGGTTTCAATTAAATTGGTATAACGGAGCACACTTTTAAAATTGCTGGTACAAACATAAAAACTTCTTTCAATATAAAAGTAAAGCTAATACCACAGAACTTTCTAAATATATAGGGAAATCTATACATTTAGAAAGTTCTGCATCTAAATATATCTGGGAAATGAAAAAAAGGGATTTTCAAATCCTATTCTAACATGGAAGATTATTGTTAGGGCAGAACCAAAAAATACCATATCATTATGTCATCTTTAAAACTATTGAACAAACAAAATAAACAAATATCAAAATGTCGCTAGGAAAACAAATTTGTTTCCTGACAACTTTACGGTCATCTAAGCTAACACTGTATTGTATTTTTGTATATAATTTTTTTGTTGTTATGGTTGTTTGTATTGTCTGATGATCATATAAAGCATGAAACTCAGAGTTATAAAAATAAACATTTTCAAAAAATTTCATTATTTTAAACATTATTTAAAAATAATAAAAGCCCCAATTATTATTATGAAAATAATAATAATAAATGAAAAAAGAACAATTTACCTGAGCGTATTTCCCATCTACAGATAAATCAAGTTGTACAACAGAACTTGATAGATTTTTGCAATATCCAGTGCGTGTAAAAGTCGGTTTTATTGAATAGAAATCTAAAGAATTATCTTCACTCCCAACAGCAAGAATAAGTCCATCTTGGGAATACCTGAGTAAAAAAAGAATTAAAAACTATACCTATTTCTTTCTGTATCTGAACAACAAAATACCTTTATCAAAATCATATTTGAAACCTTATTTGAGTAATCGATTTGTTTCTATCTCTTTTCTTTGTTATAATTTGCAAAGAATTAGTGTCTAGAATGTAAAACTCCCCATTTGCTGTTCCCACAGCTATATTATTACCATCAGGAGAAAAGCAACAGCACCGAGCTGCAACACTGGTTTCAACTTTATTCAATAAAGACTAAACATAATAAACATAAACACTTCGAGTAAAAAAAATAAATTATATATATATATATATATATATATATATATATATATATATATATATATATATATATCTATATATATATCTATATATATATCTATATATATATATATATATATATAGTTTCACACTTTATATCAGTGTGAGACTTTACAAAACAAGCCAAAAAAGGCGTTACAAAAAACCCAACAAGCTCTTGATATTTTACATACTTTGGGGTTTTCATGGGATTAATGGATCATAAACCAAAAAAATCAGAAAAAACTTGTCACTTCTTCTAGACGTCACTTTTGTCAGCTAATACTTTCTGACTATACAGAAAATCAGGAGACCACCTTTTATAAATAAAAATAAATTTTAACCAATCCCGTATTATTAAATCTAACCATGCTATCCAACTGAAGTATTTTTATTGAGCGAAATTTTTTTTTGACAATTTATAGCAGCTAATGACAAAAGTTTAACCAAAACCTTGCCTCAACAAAAACAAAGCTAAAATTAAGATTGCGGAACATTATTTTCTTTAATCCAGGCTTTCACAGGAAGGCGTGCGATTTCACGTCTTTATATGACCACGCATATTACATTTTGCTATGACGGTTTGACCGCGGCTAATTTAAAAAACGTTTTGAAAACGTGCTAAATGAAAAATATTCTAAAAAAGTGAAATGAATTACATCAAAACTTCTAAACAAATGTTTTTATATTAGCAAAACAATTTTAAATAAAATAACAATTTACTGAAAATATATTTTTTTTAAATATAATTGACAGTTGTATATATTTTTTTAATTTATAACATATAAATTGTTTAAGTGTTCATTTTTAAAATAAACGTTATTAAAAAATAAAAAATTGTTTTGTTTTTATAAAAGATGGCATTCTATGACTGCGAAAATCTTTTTAACAAATTTAAATATAAGAATAATTAAAATTAATGCATTTCAACAAGGCCGGCGTGATAGAGGGGTGTGACTCTCCCCTCCCCATCAATGATTTTTAGTCAGCAAATTTGACCCTTAGTCAGCAAATTTGACCCTTTTTGACTAGTTAGTTGGCAAATGTACATTCTTTCGATAGGTTAGTCTGTAAATTTAGACAGTCAGTCGGCAAATGTCGTCATGGCAGTCTGCAAATTTTGAAGATCTGACACTGTTTAGGATCTGACACTGTTTAGGGATTTTTTAGTAGAAAAAAAAAATGAATTTTACATGAAATTAAAAAAAATAATTTACAGAGACCCTCTGGAACATTAAGTTAATCAAAAAAAAAATGTTTTTCATTCAATATTTTTTTTATGCATAATAAAAGTACATGTTGTTAAAAAAAGTCATTTTTAATTGCAGTAAAATCTAAAACAAGAATTTTTTGATTATTACCTTTAAAACTTTTGTTTATGAAATAATTATCTTTAAAACTTTTGTCGATTTTTATTTGAGACCTAACATGACATACTTTAAAAAACCTTTTTTTTGATAATAGTAGGAACCCGTTAAATGTTCAAGGGTCTTGGGCATCTTAGAAAACTCTAGCCATGACTACAGGTTCTAGGCACTACATTATTAGTAATAAAGATGTTAGGTGACAAAATACTATCCAATACCTGTATTAAACAGTTCAGAATAGATTTTGGTTATAAATTTTTTTACAGTTACTAGTGTACTTCCTTAATAGCGACTTTCTGTAAGAATCAGCCAAAATCACCAAATTTTTAGAGTGATCTTTCAAAATCACTAATTTTTAAATATGTTGTTACTATTCATACTAGAAGCTTAATTCCAAAATTTAAAAAAAAAATTAATTGGTTCTCTAGATATTAGATGTCAAAGTTTAACTAAACTTTTAGAAATATTGACCAAACAGTGTCAAAGGCATTTTTGAACTCAAAAAAAAAAAGCAAAATAAATACTTTACAACAAGTATTCCACTTGATTATTGTTTATTGGCTAGTTCAGACCAAAAATTAATAAAATTGGTAAAGGAAATTTTTTATTTGTCTAAATGTCATGCTTCAAAATACGTGAAGAATGATTTTTTTTGTCATTTTTTATTTTCGTTTTCATTTAAAGTCACGATTAAATTTTTTTGTCTTTTCTGATCTTTGTTTTCATTTGAAGCCGCGATTACCCCATAATTTTTTTGTTATTATAAACCTTTATCTAGTTAAGTACCTACAAGTATAAAAGCACCTACAGGAAAGTAAAAAATTAGCCGCAAAATTGTTTCTTCTTGATTTTGTAAAAACTCACCTGGTATAAAATCAATATCAGTAGCTGTTAATGTTGATTCATATTCCGTTAGTATTTGTTTCTTTTTCATTGTCTCGGAATAGCATTCTTTTCGACGACGATTGCATAATTGAACCAATTGGAATGTATGAATTAAAATGGAAAGATATTTGAAGTTTCCTAGATATTTGTGCGGGTTGCCCTAATAATGTTTTCTTCCATGTTTGTACTTTGTGATTAGGGTGCATACATTTTTTTCCTTGTTTCCATCATATTCCTAATGTGTAGCGATGATATGCACGTATTTTCTCTGTATTGTTAAAATTTCTGTTTAAAAGATTTTTAATTAGAGATTTTTCATTCCAATCACCAGCTAGCTTATAGGTCTTTAAGACTTTAAAATATATAAAATAGAGTAGCAAGGTAGATTAATGGTCAATGCAAGTTTTTTTTTAATTGAATTTTGCAGTGAACCCAGGGCTTTAACCATTATCATGTCACAATCAGTGCGTAAAAAGATTAAAATTTTGTTTTTGAGTTCAATATTGCGGCTAAGTTTTTAATTTCCTGTAGGCGCTTTTATACTTTTTTTAGGTACTTAACTAGATAAAGATTTATAATAACAAAAAAATTATGGGGTAATCGCGGCTTCAAATGAAAACAAAGATCAGAAAAGACAAAAAAATTTTTTTTGTTGCGTATTTTGAAGCATGATATTTAGACAAAGAAAAAATTTCCTTCACCAATTTTATTAATTTTTGGTCTGAACTAGCCAATAAACAATAATCAAGTGGAATACTTGTTGTAAAGTATTTATTTTGCTTTTTTTTTCAAGTTCAAAAATGCCTTCGGCACCATTTGGTCAATATTTCTAAAAGTTTAGTCAAACTTTGACATCTAATATCTAATGAACCAATTATTATTATTTTTTTTAATTTTGGAACTAAGCTTCTAGTATAAATAGCAACAACATATTAAAAAATTAGCGATTTTGAAGAGGGTCACTATTGAGCTCTGTCTGATTCTTACAGAAAGTCACTCATAAAATGTACTTCATAAGTATCATAGTCACTCATAAATTGTACATCATAGTCACTCATAAATTGTAAATCATTTTTCAATTAATATGTTTAAAGAACACAATCATGTTACCTCAAGAAACACACATCATTTCTAAAGAAACACACACAACTTCTAAAGAAACAAGTACATCTTTTATAGAAACAACACACACACACAACTTTTTAGATAAAATGGTATTAAAGTTTTTCAGTTCAATACTAAAATCAAAATTAAAAAAAAATTAGGTTTAATTGACTAATTTGACTAGAAAAAAGTTTTCTAATTAGGTCAATTACTTATTGCAACCACTACACCGCCATCATCACCATCATCACCACTACACCACAACCATCATTTTACTTCCTTGTCATTTTATGTTAATAATTATAAAAAAAACTTTATAATTTTAGGAATGATTTACAATAAATAAGGTAAAATATTAAGCTCAAATTTATTTAAAAAACAAAACATAAGAAATAGCACCTTAGATTTTATATCCCAAATGCGAACAGTTTTATCATCACTTGATGTAACAAATACATCTTTTGAAGGGTGACAAGAAAGACCCCAAAGTTCTCCATCACCATGGCCATCCATTAATGTCTACAAATACTGAAGCTTTAATAATAGTTTATTAGGAAAAAAACATACCAAAGTATTATAAAAATAAATAAACCTGAAGTGATCCAGTTTTTTCATTTATTTCAAAAATACAATTGTCTTGTGTTCCAACAAGTATAGTACCCTAAAATGTCACAATTTATCAAATGCTTGGCAACTTTAAAACAAATAACATTACAATATTATTATTCAGTTAAAAATTTAAAATGTTACTTTTTTAGTCCCCCTGAAAACTGAACGAACAACTTGATTAAGCTTAAAAGGTTTACATCGTTTCATTTCTTGATCCCATAACTTTACAGCTGAACTATTCTGGTCACTTAAAAAAAAAAATTCTAAAATAAAATATGAATAATACTATATAAGCTTACTCTCTCAATGGATAGCATTTATTAGTGGATTTCAATAATTACATATTTATAAATGTCAATAGTCACATATTTATTGATGAATTTCAATAGGTTATATATTTATTTAATGGTTTCAATGGGTTGCATAAAAATTGTTTCTAAAAAATGTATGATTTTAATATTTTCATATTCATAAGTGAGTTTCAATAGGTCACATATTCATAAGTGAGTTTCAATGGGCTATATTCATAAGTGAGTTTCAATGGGTCACATATTCATGAGTGAGTTTCAATGGGCTGCACATTATCAAAAAGTAAAAAAAAATAATAAAAAACTCACGCTTTATCTTTACCACCAGTAACAATTAAACCATCTGTCACGGTTGTAAACATACAAAAAATTGGACCAGAATGAACATTTTTTACAATCCTTGTCAACAAATTTACTGACCAAATATAAACATCTCCACTTATTGCTCCTGTAAATGTTGCATCGTTCTGCATAATAATAATATATACTTTTTTAATTTTAAATTTTAAATTTTAAATTTGTGAATTTTAAACTTAAAATTTGTGAATTTTAAACTTAAAATTTGTGAATTTTAAACTTAAAATTTGTGAATTTTAAACTTAAAATTTGTGAATTTTAAACTTAAAATTTGTGAATTTTAAACTTAAAATTTGTGAATTTTAAATTTGTGAATTTTAAACTTAAAATTTGTGAATTTTAAACTTAAAATTTGTGAATTTTAAACTTAAAATTTGTGAATTTTAAACTTAAAATTTGTGAATTTTAAACTTAAAATTGAGAACTTTTTGTTTGACTCTTTTTTTTTGTTTAAAAAATATCTTTCAGTAAAACTTTTAAAGATACTAAAAATATACCAGGTGACCTAGCAACCGGGTGACCTAGCAACTGCCTAACGTTACTTTTTAACTACTTTTAGATATCTGTGGCACTGCTTGTTTTTTTTTTTTTTTTTGAGTCATACATACATATAAAAACAAATGACACAAAAATTTTAATATATGAATATTCAATAAAAAATGGAGGCACAGAAAGCAAAAAGACAAATGAAGCAAAGCCAATACTGGTTTTGCTTCAGTCAGGTAAGACCACTACTGAGATCAAGAAATGCTATTTTTTGTGTAAAAAAACTTTTTAATAAATCTGAAGACAATTTAACAAAAATAACAAAAAAAGAATATGATCGAACAAAAAGATCAGAAAAAATTTATCAATCAGTCAAAGAAATAGTCAAGTGAGAGCCAATTGGATCTATCTGTACTGTGGCCAAGAAGTCAAAGGTGTCGAATTCTACAATGCAAAGAATAATGAAAGACTTTAACATGAAGTCAAGGGTTGTGGTGACAAAACACTTAATAACTAAAAATAAAAAGAACTCAGAAAAGAATGATGCAAATAGCTTTTAAAAAAGACAAAAATCACATAGAGGATTTGTCACACTTTTTTTCTGATGAAAAACTATTTGCAGTCGACAAAGCAGTAAATTGGCAAAATACAAGGTATCTGAGCACTGATAAGGCTTAAGATGTTCCAAAACACATCAAATATGTCTTTAAAATAAAACACCCAGCCTCTGAGACAATCCTGGGTGTCATTGGAAGAGATGGAAAGAAGTGCCCTCCATTGTTTGTTCCTCAAAAGTTGACTCAGAAGAATACTTGAGACTTTTACAAACAAAAGTTGTTTACTGAAGTTGTATAAAGAAGAGAAACCCATAAGGTAATTATGTATTCCAACAAGACGGTGCACTTGCTCATACCTCTAAAAAAACTCAACAACACCTCTCTGATACAATGGCACAATTCTAAGATAAGTTTAGGATAATGCTCTCTGATACAATGGCATCACCTCTCTGATACAATGGCACAATTCTAGGATAATGCTTGGTCAGCCGGTAATTAATACTAAAAACAAGTTTCATAACAATTAAAATACTGTAAACATCAGTATTTATTAAAGTTTATTATTTTTTTAAAGGTGAATAAAACTTTAATCTTTAACATTTAAAGTAAATTAAAGAAATTTCTAATTAAATTACTATTTAAAACATTTTTTTAAAGGTGAATAAAACTTTAATCTTTAACATTTAAAGTAAATTAAAGAAATTTCAAATAAAATTACTATTTAAAACATTTTTTTAAAGTTGAATAAAACTTTAATCTTTAACATTTAAAGTAAATTAAAGAAATTTTAAATTAAACTACTATTTAAAACATTTTTTTAGAAATTAATTTTATATAAATTATTGTTATATTATATAGACCAGTTGCAAATGTTTACATTTTTGCCGTAAACTAACGCATGCGCAGTAGTTGGTAGGCAAAAGAAAATAAACAAAACATTATTGAAACATAATGCCTGTACCTTGTTGTGCTTTTGGTTGCTCCAGTAGTAAAAAAAAAAAAGGAGATTGTTTAAGTTTTTACCGAATTCTATTTGAAACAACAACAGAAAAAGAAAAAGAAAGAAGGATTTTTTTGGATCAGAGCAATTAAACGAGATGGTCTGAAAAACAAATAGATAATGCTCGTATATGCAGTCTCCATTTTATATCAGGTATAGTATTATATACAATTGTTTTAAAAGATAATTCAATTATGCAATGGCTAAAAAAGTTAAATATCTAATTATATGGCCTTTGCAAACAGCAATACAACAGAATATGCCATCACAATTTCAGAATTTTAATGTGTTGTCATAATTGATTGTACAGAGATTTTTATACAGCGCCCAAATAATTTAGAAGCTCCAGCTATCACCTGGTCAAATTATAAAAGCACAAATACTATTAAGTACCTGATTGGTGTTAGCCCAGCTGGAGCAATAACATTTCTATCACATGGTTGGGGAGGAAGAATTTCTGATAAAGAAATTATTATAAAATCAGGTTTTTTAGATTTTGTAGGATATGGAGACAGTATCCTAGCTGATAGAGGATTTCTTATTGAAGAGGAGTTAGCATTAAAAGGTGCAACATTGCACAGGCCTTCATTTACAAAAGGAAAAAAACAGTTATCTGCCAAGGAAGTTGAGGAGTCTAGAAAATTGTCTCACTTAAGAATACACGTCGAACGTGTTATTTGGAAGATTAAAATATTTTCAAGTGTTATTCCTATAACACAAGTTGACTTATTGAATGATATTATGATATCTATTTGTGCAATAGTTAATTTAAACAAAAGTGTTGTTTCTTAACCAATTATCAAACATTTCTGAACAATTATAAGCAATTTTCTATTTAAAATATAAAAATAGTATTTGAATACTTTTTTTTAACAAAATTATGTATTGAGGAAATTATATAATGACATACTATAATTTACAATATGTTAAAAGATAAATCTTAAAGTTACATTGTCTTATCCGTATTTAGACAGGGAGGACAGTACCATTTTCTTTAAGGAAATTCTTTTATTCCAATACAAGCAAAATGAAACCATTCATACTTGCATTTAATATTGCAACATGGAACCATTTGACCAAATTGTGCTTTTTTATGAAAACAGTAGACTTTACTTGAATATACTGAATTTGGCAAACAACTCCTAGTCAATAATTCAGGAAAATCTTTAAAGTAAACACATTACTTAACTAAACAACCATGTCTTCACAAAACGGTTCATTCTTTGACAAGCGATGAGAGTAAATTTCATTAGGGGACCACATAAATAAATCACAATAAGGTAAATCACATACTAACATTTGGCCTTGCATTTGATAGTAGTAAGGGTGTTCTATTTTAATTACACGATTAGAATCCAATGGAAATTTTTTATCATTCTCTGAATATTCAAAACCATTTATATATATATATATATATATATATATATATATATATATATATATATATATATATATATATATATATATATATATATATATTTTTTTTTAATTATCTTCGCTTCCAACAAGGCTGCAAGCAACCACTAATTAGTGTTGGAAGTTACTGGAAGAGAAAAGATGAAGATTGTAGAGCAAAATAACGATTGACAGACGACTTAAAAGATTGCAAATTATATGAATCAGGAAAGCAAGATGAAGGAAGCGAATTCCAAAGTACTGACGTTCGAGGAAAAAAACTAGATGAATAAGAGTTTTTGGAGCACTTAGGAACAGTAACAGAAAAAGGATGAGACTTAATTGAATGACGAGTAACACGAGAATGAATTTTAGTAGATGACACAAGAGACGCTAGCTCTTTCGAGCAGTGCCCATTATAGTATTTCTAGAAAAGAGAAAAAGAAGCAACATTACGACGATGTGACAGAGGTTGAAGGTTGGCTGCAAGAGCAGGTCCAACTATGTTTACAATGCGTTTTTGCACGTTGTCTAAAAGAGAAAGGGCATCATTAGAAGATCCGCCCCAGATATGGCCACATTATTCCATACAAGGCCGGGTTTGAGATTTATAGAGATAGAGAATAGAATCCAGAGTAAGAAAACGATGAGCTCGATAAAGAGAAGCAACTTTAGCAGATGCTAATTTTGCAACGGATTTGATATAAGGTTTCCAAGAAAGATCAGAAGTAAGAGTTAATCCTAGAAGATGAAGGGTAGGAGACTCATCGAGTACATTACCGTTCATAAATATAGGAAATTCTAAATTATTGCGGTAACGATTGGCAGAAAAAAATTGAGTTTTATCTGAATTAAAGTTCACCAGCCACTGTGAGCCCCATGCTGTAGTAGAAGTGAGATCCTTTTCAAGCTCAGATGCCCCTAGCAAGCAATCAGAGGGAGTTGGCTTATTATCGTGACAAGAATAAATAGTAGTATCATCAGCAAACAATGCAATCTTAGATGTGAGAATATCTGGAAGATCGTTAATGTAAATTAAAAAAAGTATAGGGTTAAGGATTGAACCTTGAGGAACCCCTGAGGTTACAGAATAAGAAGAAGAGTGCTGTCCATCAAGGACAACTTTTGTACTACGATTGGAAAGGAAGGATTCAATAATCTTAAAGATGTTTCCAGATACACCGTAAGAAGAAAGCTTATGGAGAAGACCAGCATGCCAAACTTTATCAAACGCTTTAGAAATGTCAAGAGCAATTGGCCTTAACCTCTCCAGCTTTATCTAATGCGCGATAAAACCTATCGGTTATTACTGATAGCAAATCAGCCGTAGAACGAGAAGATCGAAATCCATATTGATGATCAGAAAGTAGGTTATGAGATTCGAGAGATTAAGTGTTTGTTAATTAAAGATTCAAAAACCTTGCTTATGATAGGAAGAAGACTAATGGGATGGTAGTTAGACAAATCGGATTGCTCTCCAGAATTTTTAAAAATAGGGATAACAGATGCTGCTTTCCAGCAGGCTGGAAAACAAGAATCTGATAAGCACTTGTTAAATAGTTTTGAAAGGATAGACGACAGCTCTGGAGAACACTTCTGCAAGACTATAACAGGTATGTTGTCCGGGCCGCAAGCTGTAGAAGAGTCTAAGTGGGAAATCACTTCAGATACAGAAGCTGGAGTGATACGAATGTCGAGCAATGGATCAACCTGTTTGACGGCTATATCAGGTAGAACGCAACTAGTGGCATCAAGAGATGATATTGATGAAAAGTTCTTGGCAAAAAATTCAGCTTTGTCTTTAGGTGAGGTGGCAAAGTCTGAACCATACAAGAGGTGGAATTACAGACTTGCCCTTATTATTGATACTATTAAAGATTCTTCAGAAATCACGAGAGCCTAATTTTTGAGATGAAATACGAGATTTCATGATCTGAGAATAGCGGGCTTTGGCATTAGACAAAACCTTTTTACAATGGTTCCTAGCAGTAATAAACAGACGTCTGTTTTCTGGAGAATTGTTTTGCTGATAGATATGGAAGTATGGGTTTTGATAGGCAATTGCAGCAGCACAATGTGAAGAAAACCATGGAGAAGAGTGAGGCTTGACCTGGAATCGTTGAGAGGGAATAAAGGATTCCATGCCAGCCTGAATCCACAAAGCTATGTAAGAAGCACATTTGTCAACAGGGAGACCAAAGATTTCTACCCAGGGGCCATCACGAAGAAAATCACGGAAAGAGTCCCAGTCAGCTTTAAGGTAGTTGTAAGATGTACGATGATAAGGGGATTCTGATGGTAAAGAAGAATGAGATAATAGTTTTAGAGAGACCAAACCATGATCAGAAGCATCTAAGGGTGAGTGTGAAGAAAATGAGCACTGACTAGGATCAGAAACAAGACATAAGTCGAGTAGAGAAGGTAAATGATTCGGGTTGTCTGGAAAGCGAGTTGGAAAGTTGACTATTTGAGTTAGGGATTGAGAAAGGCAAAAGTTGTGGGCCTTAATGCCTGCGGAGTCACTGACACTAGAGCCAAGCCATTCAGTGTGATGAACATTAAAGTCACCGACAACAACAATATTGGCTGATGGATAAAGAATGAGGGCTTGGTCAATATAATCAGAAATAACATCAAGAAGAGTGCAAACTTGAGATGAGGGAGAGCGATATGGAACAAAGAGAAAGGTGATAGAGTGAAGTGGTGCTAAACGAAAGCACATAAAAGAGTAGTCTGTGGATTCAAACCTAGTTTCCTGACAAATGGGTGAATTCTTACGAATGTAAATGCCTAGGCCAAGCATGTGACTATTGGAGTCTTTACCATTAACACTAAGATCACAAGATGAGACAGCTGAACTCAAATTAGTCTCACAAAGAGCAAGTAGGTCTGGTGAACTTTGCAAGAGATAAGACTCAACAGAAGAAAAGTTACTTCAAAGACCATGAATATTGGTGAATGATAGGTTTAGCAAACTTGGTGATGACTGTAGTTTTTTGGGTTTTATAGTTTTTGTTACTTTATTCATTTTTAAATTTGTTAAAGAACTTGACTCGAAACATAGATAGTACTCAGTACATTGTCTTATAGCCCAAGCAATTGCCTCATTTCCACTAATAAACCCTAAGCCGTAACAAAGGGCTCCAATGTAGCCTTGGCAATGCACACCAAAAGTACAAACAGGGATACCATCCATGCGCAACATGGCACTGTTAGTACTTTGATATTTTTCAGCTGTCGATGGAATCAGCCTCTCTGAGAGCTACCACAGAGTTCGGGAAACCTGACTACCAGCCGGCCTCAGAACCATAAAACTGAGTTTTAGAGCTGTACCCTCATTTGGAGATAATAGAATGAGTTGCCTAGTCATAAAAACAGAGACAAAAGCAAAACCCATGAATCGAGTCAAGAAGATCCAGCGTTCAACATCCTAAACTGGAAGCAATGTATTAAAAATACATCTGCACCAGCCTAAGTAGGTCTACCACCTATGTGGTAGATGAAGGTAAGGGCATTTAATTTCCACAAGGCCTTTTCAATGACAATAACATTCTACAAATGCATCAGGACTTGCACCGATTTCAGGAAAATTTTCATTGACATGCAATCCTGTCAAAGTTATTTTGAAATTTTTATGTTGTTCTGACATAATTTGATAACATTTTTCTCTCGCTTTACCTTTATTTTCAGTTCCATTGTTGCTCTTTCCAACACTGTGAAAAACATTGAGCACAAGTTATTTCTGATAATCTGTCAAAAGATTTTTGGGTATAACATTTTTTGTAAAGTTTAAATTTCTGTTTGCCTTTATTTGTTAAAGCTTCTTGTGAAAATTTTGTTAAATTTGGTTCAAATAGATATGTCAAAGGTTGTGGGATACATGTTTTATAAGTTTCTTCTGCTGTATCAGTTTGTTTCACTAGAATACAAAAAATCAGCTTCATCAATACTTGTTAGAACAGCAGCATCAAGTCCTATATCTTTCAGTTCATTAAACTTGGACTTTGAAATACTAGCATACTGTTTATAAGAATAACAATTTTCATCAACATTCTTGGATACTTGATTATGCAGGGGTAACTTTTTTTTTTTTTCGAGCAACTAAAATTTATGTTTGCTAATGCTGTGGGACTAACATGCTTTTTAGATCAATTCCATTCACATTGCAAACTTGTACAAGCAGTTTTATTGATTTCAAGTCTTATACAGGCTTCAACTTTAAAAAGTAGAGCTGCTATATGACTGCAAGCTGATCCAAATCTAAAAAATAAGTTATTAAAAACTTAGGTTTTCAATATATTAATTATTATTTCAAATTATTCATTATAAATTATCTTAACTAATATAATTCTAATATAATATAATCATAATAATTTTATGTTGTTAATCATAACAATTTTATGTTGTTAAAACAACCTAATTTAATTGTTAAAGTTAACATACCCATTTTATGTTACTAAAAAAATTAATTTTAATTGCTTATGTAAACAAACCCAGCAACACAACTGCAGTTTCTATTTAAAATATATCTTTTGGATTTGTGAACATAAATCCAAACATCATACATTGCTTTTTTTTCCCTTGTCTTTGACTTGGTAAGACCTAAAATAACAACATTAATTTGGTTTAAAATTTATTGTAGTTATATATCTAAGTTATATTTTAGATTTCACTAAAATTGTTTTTTTACCTTTGCTTTTAAAGCACAAAACTCAGACTCTTCATTTAAAACAGTATAAAAAACATCTTGCACGTGTCCACATATAAAATAGTTAAAAACCTCAAGGGATTTATAGGCTTTCATACTTTCTTTGCTATATAAACTTTGTGATTCTACTAAAAATGTGTATATATCACCATAACTGACTTCAGGAAACAAACTAACATTGTTTTTCCAAAATTTTTCTTCGATACCATAAGGATCGGGAAGCAAAACATTATTTTCTAATGTCAATTTCTTCAAATAAAATTCTTTGTCAGGATTAGCAAGAGAATTGAAGTAAGAAGACATTGTTTAGATGAAACTTTATTAAGTCGTCCGAATTAAAATTCTTGTTTATTTTATATTTTTGCCTACCAACTACTGCGCATGCGCCTAAATTGTAAACATTTGCAACTCTCTTTACTATTTACGTAATGTATTTATTATATATCAACCAAGGGTTGAACTAAACAATTGCAAATTGCAATATCTGGGAACAGTTCTGGTCCTCATTTTTTCATTTTTTAAAAATTGGCCAACTCTCTATTATAAAATGCGTATGTGTTATCATAAAAGTCAGTAATCAGTATTTAATAAAAAATATTTATCCATTGATCTTGAAACTATAATACAAAATATGATAAATTTAACTTTTAATTATTTATTATTATAATATATTATTTAATAATTTAATATATCTAATAAATAGATTCTAAATTTTGAAAAACAATATGTTAATAAAATATAATATTAGTTAGGAACATAAGTTTACCAGTAGTGTCCTAATATAAGATTATGGATGTCTCTAGTCTAGATGGGTATAGGCCAGTTGGACATACAACATTTTGCCTTATGTTACACTATGTTTGTGAAAAAAGATCACATTTGGTAAAAATAGATATATACTGTTATCATTCAATATAAATGTTATCTATCAATAGTCAATATTTAAATAACTTAATAACTTTTAATGTTTTACTAAAATAACTACAAATTATTGACTTACAGGTCCATATGCAACTGATAACATAGTTTGATTAACAGCTTCTCCAGCATATGATGATAAATTTCCTTTCTTTGCAACTAAAGATCCTCCTGTAACATTCCACCATGTGACATGTTTAATTCCACATGTAACAAATGTTGTATCTGAATCTGGGCGGAATTCTCCAACAAATATACGATGATTAGATCCAGAACCACAAGCCACCTTTGTTCCTTAAAATACCCAACACAATGTTTAAATAATCAAGTTGTCTTTATGATTGATTAATCAAGTTGAATGTCAAATCAGAAATTAAAAAATTTTTTAAAATTATTTTAGTATTTTAAAATTTAACATCTATTAAATAAATAATGAATATAAGCAATAAAACATACCATCAATCCACTTCCATACAGCAAGAGAATGGTCATTATCAAGACCAATAGTTAGTAGATATCGCCCACTAGAACTAAAATTGACTCCACAAATACCTTTTGTATGATAACCTTGTAAAACAGAAAGTGTTTTTTGAGTGCCTGCTTCCCAAATGTGAACTGAAGGACTAACACCTATTTGACCTGATGCGATTACATCCTATACATGTGATGAAAATTGTTACAACCTATATATGGCTGGAAAAAAAAAACCTATAGTAATAAAGTAAATTTCTTAAATATAGTATGTTGAAAGCAGATATAAGTTCAACTAGTGGAGCAATACTGTGGTATTAGCAATAGTAAAAGTGGATTTTTTTCTAATGTGCTCAAAACCAAACCTCTGTTATGTCCTTGGTTGTATTTATTTAGTGCTATAGAGTTTGCTTCTAATGTATATTTTTAAGTAATAACATTCATTTGCAATTAAAAAATGTTTACAGTTTTATGTTTAGAACTCTGATTATGACTGTAGAGATTCTTTATAAGTATCATATTATAATGCTAAAGATCTAATACTTTATAAGTATCATATTATAATGCTAAAGATCTAATACTTTATAAGTATCATATTATAATGCTAAAGATCTAATACTTTATAAGTATCATATTATAATGCTAAAGATCTAATACTTTATAAGTATCATATTATAATGCTAAAGATCTAATACTTTATAAGTATCATATTATAATGCTAAAGATCTAATACTTTATAAGTATCATATTATAATGCTAAAGATCTAATACTTTATAAGTATCATATTATAATGCTAAAGATCTAATACTTTATAAGTATCATATTATAATGCTAAAGATCTAATACTTTATAAGTATCATATTATAATGCTAAAGATCTAATACTTTATAAGTATCATATTATAATGCTAAAGATCTAATACTTTATAAGTATCATATTATAATGCTAAAGATCTAATACTTTATAAGTATCATATTATAATGCTAAAGATCTAATACTTTATAAGTATCATATTATAATGCTAAAGATCTAATACTTTATAAGTATCATATTATAATGCTAAAGATCTAATACTTTATAAGTATCATATTATAATGCTAAAGATCTAATACTTTATAAGTATCATATTATAATGCTAAAGATCTAATACTTTATAAGTATCATATTATAATGCTAAAGATCTAATACTTTATAAGTATCATATTATAATGCTAAAGATCTAATACTTTATAAGTATCATATTATAATGCTAAAGATCTAATACTTTATAAGTATCATATTATAATGCTAAAGATCTAATACTTTATAAGTATCATATTATAATGCTAAAGATCTAATACTTTATAAGTATCATATTATAATGCTAAAGTATTTTTATTACTATATAACACCATATATACAGTTATATAGTTACATAGTTACAGCAACATAGTTACAGTAACATAGCTACAGTTACAAAGTGCTTTAATATTACAAAGATTGTTATAACAACATTATACCTTAAATTTTGGATTTCTATTAATTGTCAAGCAAATTACATCATCTGTGTGCTCCACATAAAAACTTTGTTTGCTTTCATTTAAATTAAAAACAACACAGGTTCCAGCAGCAGGATATACAACACTTCCATCAGTTAAATAGTGAAGGTTATTTCTTGAATCAAAACCTCGATATCCATAAACAAACTCAAGTATAAGATCCTTAAAAAATGCACAATATATGTGATGCATAAATACTTTGACTCATCCATAATGTCAAATTAAAAAAAAAAAGCCCATATTTAAACAAAAAAGAAAAATAGTCCACACACAGGTAGAACCATTAAATATAAATAAAATATACATTAAAATACCTAAACATAATATAACAATTTTTTAAAAAATCAAGAAATATATTGGCATAATGTAAACACATAAAAAAAAGTAAAACAAATTTAAAAAATTTGTGCGTCATCTTTTTTAGAAAATAGCAAAATTGAAAAACTTAACGAGTTAGAATTCAAATCTTAACGCAGAAATATTTAGCTTCACTGTTAAAAGTTTAAGCTTGTTTTTCAAGAAGTTTAAGCTCATTTAAGCTTTTTTTTTCAAAAGTTTCTGCTGTAAAAAAAAAAAAAAAATTTTTTTAGTTTACTTGATTCTTTAAAAAGAAATTTGACCAAAAGATGGTGTTCATTCTGGATAAAGTTGATTGTGTGTTTATACTATACCTAAACCAAAATTTGTTTAAAATGCATTATAAAAATATTACAACATTTTCTACTGAAGCGTTGATGTTTTGGAGTTCTCTCATGTCTTATGACTCATACAATTTATAGTTTTTTAAGTTTCTTGTCAACCGTTTTCTAGCCCTTCAGCACTCTTTATTTTCTGTTAATTTCCAACTTCCCAAGTGATTGATTGTATCTTTGTTTTCTGTTAATTCCCAACTTCCCAAGTGGTTGATTGTGTCTTTGTTTTCTGTTAATTCCCAACTTCCCAAGTGATTGATTGCGTCTTTGTTAAAAGTGAATCAGTTAAAGAATAATAAAAAATAAAAAAAACTTTGGTGTTCTCAAACATTTCTTTTTAAATCTTCTAAAAATCCTTGTAAAATCCTAACTTTGATTAGACAATTAGAATTTCTTTGTGAAGTCCTTTAAATCTTGTTAATAATTAATAATTTGATTGATTTTGTTGAAAATTATCAATTACTCTTTTTATTAATTATAATTAATAACTGTTGCATAAATAATAACTGTTTAATAATTAATTCATTTAGATGCTCTGATCAACACAGACATCAAAATGTCATATTGATCAGTGATCAACATGATACTTTGATGATCATAGACATCATAATCAGTCAGATACTATGACATGAATACTTACATAATCAGTCAGATACTGACATTAATACTTACATAGTCAGTCAGATACTATGATAAAACATGAATACTTACATAAACTTAACCCAGGTTTTTTTCTTTTAAAATAATTAATTTTGCAGAAATGGTTAGATTCAACAACATAAAGATGTATTAGATTTTCTGCCCATACATTTATTCTGTTTAAAAAAAAAATTAATAGAGCAAATAAAACTAACATTCAAAAACTATTTTGAAAAAATATTTTTAATTAACTTAATTTTTGTTTGTTTTATTTACTTTTTGGTTTTACAATTTTTACATTAAATTTGTTAGATTTTCTCATTCTTATTATCGCTTGTTACACATTGAAAACTTTTTTTAATCAGAAGTTCAATACCACCATTTTATAACTTTTTGTTGCAAGAAGCTCATTATCACCATTTTAAACATTTTGTTGTTGTTACCAGATGCTCATTACCATAATTTTATAGAAATGGAAGTAATGTTGTCACATTACATTAGCTCTGATATAAGCTAAATAAAACAGTATTTTAAGATCTTATATAACTGTAAAATTAAAAACATTTACATCAATTGGAGCTGCATTTTTATCTTTCTTTGGTATGACTGTTTTCTCTGACTCACCACGATTCACCTTTCTTGTTAAAAAAAAAAAAATTCAATATACATATATATATATATATATATATATATATATATATATATATATATATATATATATATATATATATATATATATATATATATATATATATATATATATATATATATATATATATATATATATAATATATATATATATATATATATATATATATATATATATATATATACATATATAAATATATATATATATATATATATATAAATATATAAATATATATATATATTATTTTATAAACATCAATAAATACGATTTTCTCTCGATACTAAATTTATTTTTTATTTTTTAAAAGAAATTTTCGCTGGATTGTTGTGACCAGCGTCTTCAGCTTAAAAGATTTTCCAAACTACAAAAAATCCAAACTACAAAGGAACAGCCACCCAGGAGTTTACCTTATTAAGTGCCATTGTAACAAAAAGTATATTGGTGAAACAAAAATGCAAATAAAAACACGCATGCAACAACACAAAAACAGTACAATAGGAAATAAAACAGAAAGATCAGCATTAGCCACACACATGAAACATTGTGCACAACAAATTAACTGGGACAGTTGCAGAACTCTAAAAGTCAATAACAAAACGTTTGCTAGGAAAGTTCGTGAGGCGCTTGAAATACAGTACCACCAATGTGCCCCTCAACAAAGTGGTATCAATTTAGATGAGGGACAATATGTGTCAACAAAATTCTGGACACCATTTCTAATGCACTTACGTCAGAAAAAGACGAAACCATTCCATTGACATATAATAAAATTGCCGTTTAAAAATAACATATAAACAAAAACAAACAAAATCTTTTAAGCTGAAGACGCTGGTCACAACAATCCAGCAAAAATTTCTTTTAAAAAATAAAAAAATAAATTTAGTATCGAGAGAAAATCGTATTTATTGATGTTTATAAAATAATAATTTACATACTCTCATACATGATGTCTACATTCAAAAATATATATATATATATATATATATATATATAAATATATAAATATATATATATATATATATAAATATATAAATATATAAATATAAATATATATACATATATATATATATACATATATATATATATATATATATATATATATATATATATATATATATATATATATATATATATATATATATATATAAATATATATAAATATATAAATATATATATATATATATAAATATATATATATATATATATATATATATAAATATATAAATATATGTATATATATATATATGTATATATATATATGTATATATATATATGTATATATATATGTATATATATGTGTGTATATATATATATATATATATATATATATATATATATATATATATATATATATATATATATATATATAAACTTGTATCTTATACTGCCTAGCTGGTGTCCATAAAATAGAAGCAGAGGTGTCAATACATCTGTCAATAAATCTGACATATCAATGTTAATAAATCTGACAGTGACAAAGGTTTCAGTACATATATCTAACAGAGTGATAGAGGTGTCATTACATACATCAAATATTTATTTGATTCAAATATTATAACTTATTCAGATTTTTATTGTTATATATAGTCTGAGGATTCGAGTAAACAGTATTGTTAGAATAAATAAGTGCAGTAATACCACATTCTTAGTAGTACTGCACTTGTTTGCCAGTATCAGTAACAGTATTGTTTGAGTAGGCAAATCAGTGCAGTACAACCACTTTCTTACTGCACTTGTTTGCCTGAACATTAATCTTGTCCATCAAGGTGTTTCAGAGGTATAGAGTTGAGAGAAATGTGAAGAAAAAGCATTGACAGCAAGAAAAACACTTTAAACACAAAACAGAACAAAAAAAAAAACCCTAAATATAACACAGAATCTTCTAAATGTTTTTAGGTAAATTATCCAGGATAAACTGCGCAATTAGGGATCATACCAATTTTCAGCCAACCCTGGCCAACTTTGTTATTTTTGCCGAAAGCCATAAAGCCATAGATAAAAAACTAGTATAAAAGTATGGTTGGACCATACTAGTAAAGTTTCTTTGATTATTTTATGTTGAGATTCAGGGTGACATCACAATTATGGAGTATTAAATACTTCAAGAGTGACATTACCACAATTATGAAGTATTAAATCCTTCAAAAAGGCATAACAAATTTTTAAGAAGACCTAGTGAATTTACTCTTTCAATATTCTATTTGAGAGACAAAATGCACAATAAAACTTAAACCTAAGACAATACTAAATAAAAAACTGTGCAATTAGGGGTCATGCCAATTTTAGCCGACCTAGACAGTACTATAAAGTGATCTAAAATACTGAAAGTAGTCTTATACTCTTTGTATTTGTTGGTCATAAAATACATTGCTTATAAACAAACAAAAAAATTAATCTTTCCAGAATTGTGGAGAAACAGTTGATACTAATGCAATAGAACTTGTTTCAAATATCATGCAATAGAGGCAATGTTTTTTCTACTGCTTTCAGAACTTTCAAAAATAATCATAAATCACAATCACCTCTAAAAAAGTTTATTTTAAAAAAACAAATTCAAAAAAAATTTTTTTTCATTCATTTTAATAAAGAGTAATAATTTGTATTTAAAATAATTATAATTTTTAAATTTTTATATCATTTCGCTTCTTTTGAGACCCAACATAACATTGTTTTGAAGAAATTTTATTGTTGATAATATTAGAGTCCAATTAAATGTTTAAAAATTTTCTTATGCATTAAATTTTTAAATTTAGAGTATTTTATTATATAGAACACATTTAGGTAAGAGCTAAAGACATAAAATTTTAAAATTTTAGTTTATGTCAAAAAAGTTTGTTTTAGTTTTATTAGTTTTTAAATATCAAGTAGTGTTGCAAAGATTTATTATTTAATGTTAAATGAATCATCATCAATGCTCTATTAACTATTGAAGCACACAAAATAAATTTTTAAATATTTAGGATGTTATAAGCAAATTAGGTTCATAATTATGTTATGTAACTGTTGAAAAAGAAAAGTTTTCTTTTTAAACTTCTTACCAAATAATCCCATAAAAATCAAAATCAACTAGTTTAATGTCACAAATTTTGCTTGTGTTTTTCTCTATTCAAAACCATATTTTACTTTATACTTAAAGAAAAAATTTGAAACTTCAAAACAAATCTAAAATTATGGAATCTCTCCAGGAATCTGTTGTTTGTTCACCCAATCAAAATAACCAAGGCTTGCATAGAGTAAATATTATAGAACTATTTTAAAATTTGTTTGCATATTTACTCTTTGCCAAAGCCATCAAGTACAAACACAAAGAAAAAAAAAAGCTTTGAATCAAAAGAAATAAAAAAGAAATCCTGACAAAAAGAAATATAAAGTTTCTATTATAATTTTATTAAATTTATATTAATATATTCTATTATAAATAATATATTAATATAAATTATATAAATTATTATAATTATGTCAACATTTATAATTAAAATGTTTGCCAAAAAGACAACAACAACCACAAAAAGGCTTCCTCTGTGGAATCAAATTACTCTTTATCTGCAAATTTTCAAGTTGAAGAAAAGTATACAAAAAAATTTAATCGTTGTTTTACCAAGTCCTTTATGTTCAATGTAAGTCATCCATTCCTTATATTATTTGTGTTTGCAAGTTGCATGATAATATGCGTTATGCTCTTGAATCATTTTCGTGGAGCTCAGATGTTTTTTCAATAATTAAAATTATTACTCCAATTTAAATCATTTGAGTTAGACAATTAATGAAGTCAATTGCAGATACCTCAAACAAATCGTATATTAAAGTAGTAAAAGTTAAAAAAAAAAAAAAACATCAAAATCTCAATTTCATTATCACAAAACATTCTCAGTACATTTTCAGTCAGCAATATTGCTAACTGAAAAATTACTGTTATATTACTAACTGAAAAATTACTGTTATATTACTAACTGAAAAACTACTGTTATATTGCTGACTGAAAAATTACTGTTATATTGCTGACTGAAAATGTACTGTTATATTGCTAACTGAAAAATTACTGTTATATTGCTAACTGAAAAATTACTGTTATATTGCTGACTGAAAATGTACTGTTATATTGCTAACTGAAAAATTACTGTTATATTGCTAACTGAAAAATTACTGTTATATTACTAACTGAAAAATTACTGTTATATTGTTGACTGAAAAATTACTGTTATATTACTGACTGAAAATGTACTGTTATATTGCTAACTGAAAAATTACTGTTATATTGCTAACTGAAAAATTACTGTTATATTGCTGACTGAAAATGTACTGTTATATTGCTAACTGAAAAATTACTGTTATATTGCTAACTGAAAAATTACTGTTATATTACTAACTGAAAAATTACTGTTATATTGTTGACTGAAAAATTACTGTTATATTACTGACTGAAAATGTACTGTTATATTGCTAACTGAAAAATTACTGTTATATTGCTAACTGAAAAATTACTGTTATATTGCTGACTGAAAATGTACTGTTATATTGCTAACTGAAAAATTACTGTTATATTGCTAACTGAAAAATTACTGTTATATTACTAACTGAAAAATTACTGTTATATTGTTGACTGAAAAATTACTGTTATATTACTGACTGAAAATGTACTGTTATATTGCTAACTGAAAAATTACTGTTATATTACTAACTAAAAAATTACTGTTATATTGCTAACTGAAAAATTACTGTTATATTTCCTAAAAAGAGAGAAGTTAACATTTGACTTACACTCAAATATTTTTTATGAGATATTCGTCACTTTTGAAGGATTCACCCTCCTCAATTTATTCACAAAATCGCCACTGGCTAGACCTGCAGATAAGGATATGTTTGCATGCTTAGTTGTTTAATTTTTTTGAATATTTATCAAATTTAGAAATAAATGATATTTTAGTGTTGAAGTTGCTTTTATGCATAAGTTGTTTCGTTATCTTTCATTTTTTAGATTGATTATAGAAAGAAAGTCGATTAGAAATGATTAACTAGGTTATGAGCAGTAGACGATTTTTTTACTAAAGTCAAGTTCTTTAAAAAAAATTGTCGATATATTTTTTGCTTTGTTTAAGCACTGTTTAAAACTGTAAACTATAGTAGGAAACTATACTTATAAATAGATAAAGCTTGGAAATATTATTAGAAAAAAAATATCTTTTTATTTCTTTTAATTTCAACCCAAAATGATGTGAGTATAATTATATGCATTAGTTTTCAGTCTACTCTGCTAAAAAAATCAAAACTTTTATTTTAATAATGCTTAATGAAAAATTGCAATGAAAGCAATATGAGGTTTAGATACGAAAAGCTATCAAATTTCACTAACAAATTAATTACATGCAATAAAAAATCAAATTTGTCTGTGAGTTTGCGCTATAAAATCAAGCTAGCAATCTAGACAATTGGCAAAAAATGTACCATCTAGGTACATTTTTTGCCAATAAATGTACCTAGATGGTACGTTTATTGGCAAAATAAATAAAAATTATTTTGCACAACAATTCCTTTTACAGAAAAAATACTAATGTCATCGATTCATAACTAGTTATTGTAACAGCTTTCCTAACTATGTTTTTGTGGGTTGTTTTACACAAAATTAATTTTGTGAAGCATATACAACACAAAGAAAATACTTAACATGTTTGCAATAACTTGCAATAACAACATTCCTTCTTTAAAATAATATTTGCTATTAACTCGCGTGTAACAATACGATCTACAGACATTTTCATCGTACAAACAAAATTTTGAATGGATGCAAAGTAGTTTGCTTCAAATGTCTTGTACCCGAAAAAAGTAAAAGTAACGAGTTATGAGGTAAAGAAATCACATGTGCCACAAAAGCTCACATTAGCAACCTTATACGACACTTATCTAGAAAACATGCAGAGCTCCTCATTGCATTAGAAAAAGAAAAATTAGAAAAAAGTAATAATTTTAATTAAAAAAAAAAATCTAAACAATTATATATTTTTTTGGCATTTTTAAACAAAAAATTATCATAGGCATTTGATTGGGAACCTATTCAAAAGCTTTGCGGAAAAGTTTCATCTCATTTTGGATTTAAAACAAATAAAGATAATGAGAACTCAAATTATCGATCTTGCCAAAAAGCATCGCGAACAAATCAAAAACAAATTATTGAAATTGCTATTTTATTTGAAAGTTGATTCTACATCAAGGTACTACCTCGGTATAAATGCGCAATACTCAAACAATGATGAAATAGCTGTAATCAATCTTGGCACCATTGTTACGAAGGGAAAACAAACGACGGAATACACAAAAAAATTTATTGAGAAGTGTTTAGATAAGTCAATAAAACTAATATTTTAGGCCACAGTGTTGGCAATGTAGCAGTGAGTATCATATTTTGAAATTCACTATAATTTTTGTTAATGAAAAAAATTTTAAATTATGCGATTAAAGTTATTATTTTCCATAAAATCATATAAAAATTAAACTGTTTTGATAAAATCTTTTATATATCGTTAAGATTATATACACTAAACTTTAAACTAACTATTGAAATCATATTTAATATCTTTAGATAAATATAAAGTTGGCGTACTACTTTAGCATTAGTGCTGTTGAGAAAATCGTAGATGACAAAGACGATTTTTCAGCAAAAACTGATGAATTTGACCAAGATGGTTATTCTAAAGCAGACAATGCGGCAGCAGTCTTGGCAAGTGGAGTTGCCAGTAGCATGAGTGTTATACATATTCAAAGACGTGCTGTCCACACTTTACAGTTAGCTGTAAATAATGAATTCAAAAGGCCTACAATAAAAAATCTAATTAGCCATACCAGAGATGTTGTCAAAACTGCAAGAAATTCAAAGTGGATTGACTTCTTCAGGGACCAGACTCCACATCTCATTCCAATTTTAGATCAGGCTACCCGTTGGTCTAGCCAGTTCAATATAATTGAGAGGCTAGTTAAGGTAAGCTATAACTTAAAACTTCTAAGTTTTAATTAAAGTGTATAAACCCATTTTCTAACTGGTTTAATATAAATCCAGTTATTTCAATAGTAATTACATTTATACTACTTAATAATTTTTAAATGTTAGTTTATGTAAATATTTCTTTAATAACCCTCTTTATTTAAGTAGTTAATAATTTTGTACATATATTTAATGAATTCTTCTGTTCTTCTAGATTCGATCAGTAATTCAAAATCTAAATGAGCAAAAAAAAGCTCCTAAAGAATTTAATTTGCAATCATGTTTTTGGGGTATGTGGGAGGAATTGAGAAACGTATTGCATATGGCACGCAATCTTACTATTCGTCTTCAACGTGAAAATATCATCGCAGGCGAATTCCTTTTTGATTGGAATTTAGTAAAGCGTGAACTTGACGAGAAGGACAGTGACTTAGCCAAAGATTTCCAAAAAGAAATGGATAATAGAGAAAGCGCTCTACGCGAAAATTCGTTGTTTCTTGCAACAATTTACGTTGATATTAGACATGGCTGTATGCTAACAGCAACTGAAGACAAGGTTTCTTTTAATAAAATTCTATTTATATATATTTATTTATTTAACTTTAAGAAATACATATTCTAAAAAGTATAAATACTTCAATAGATATCTGCAGCTGATGGACTTTGGAAAATACATTACAAACTGATTAATGAACTCGTTAATAAAAATAAGAATAATGAACTCAATAAAACCAAAAAAGCAGTAGAGAGCAACTCTTTTGCAGTTTATGTGTCTGACTCTAGTTCAGAAAATGAGGAGAATGCTTCACCAGTCGCAAAGCGTCGACCAAATTTATTTATGTGGTGTGAACAGGAGGTTCAAGAAAATTCTTCAGAAGAACAAATGCAGGTTTAACTAAATGTAGTCGAAAAGGAGTTTCAACAAGCTCTAAAAACAATTCCGGAAATCAGTTCAATGTTTATAGACAAATTCTCCAACTTAGACGAGTTTTTAAAACTTAACCCATTGAAATCAATTGAGCAGTTCCCTGAAATTGTACAGGATGCCTGCTGTGTCGCTTTGTCGCTACCCATATCTCAAGTCAGCGTTGAGCGTCTGTTTTCAGTCTTAAAGCACATGACACTAGACCATCGTAGTTGATTTACATCTGAGTTAATTGATGATACGCTTTTTTTACGAACAAACGAGTTTTTTATTTAAACATTTTTTGATGATGTAGATATTTTATTATTTTGTTTTTGTAACTTTATAATTTAGCATGTAATTAATGTAAATAAATATTTAAATCTTTTTATAATTTTATGATCATGCAGTTTCAAGAAATCTGAGAAATTGAGTTTGAGAAACCTGTGTGTGTGACAATGCAAACCAAATAAAAATCTTTGGAGTTGTATTGTTCTTATAAATTCTCACTATCCAGCAAAAGCGAGACAAAGCGCACTTTCCTAAAAAAAAAAGGGATCTGTGGTTTAAACCCACCTTTGTTTTTGTGACATCAGTTAGGAAGTAGGAGTGAATTTCCTGTTAATTGCTTTTCCAAGGTGCTCTGTTATAAGACTGTAAGGACTTCTAAGGGTACATAAAATAAACATATATATAATTCATAAGAGAAAATATTATTGGTACCCTCTCATTTTTCCGGAATTTTCATGTAAAAGTTCCAGAGAATAAAAACCCCATATTCAATTAAAGAAAAAAAGAAATTATTCTGAAATCCGGAGTCCATGATTTTTGAGCTCGGAGTCCTAAAAAATCGATGAAACTTCGCATCCCTGATATATATATATATATATATATATATATATATATATATATATATATATATATATATATATATATATATATATATATATATATATATATATATATATTTATAAGAAAGAAAAAATGTTTAAAAAAATGTTTTACTTTTTTTCCTCATTTGGAACTTCTTTTAACTGTGGTTTATTGCCAGATGATTCTCTTAAAGGATTTGTGTAAATTTTACTCAGGTAATCAATATTTTTTTCACGTTCTACATCACTATCATACCCTGATTCAAACTCAGAATCTGAATCAGATTCTAAAGCATTTTGAGTGCATGCCTCAATAGCATCTAAACTTTTCCATACCATTAAGGAGGTATCTGCCCCACCAACTGATAAAAGAAAAGAACTGTCATGAGTCCAACGTACATTACAAACATCAGCAGAATGGCCATTAAATTTCTTACATCTTGCATTTTTACCCTTAAATATAAAAAATATAAAAGAAAAAAGCAAAAAAAAACTAAACACAGAAATGCAATAATAATAATAATAATAAAAAAACAAAAAAAATAACAAAAACAACAAAATAAAATCCTACTGTGCATGGAAAATCATACAACTTTAAAAATCCGTAGTCATCTCCAATTGCGAGCAATGTTCCATCAGAAGATAAGTGTGCTGCATTAATATCTGACACATCAAAATGTGGAGCCCATATTCCTTGGCATTCTCGACCCAAAACACAAGTCCATGAAAACCATTTCAAATTGTCTAACTGTAGAGACGGAATAGCTTGCCTCACACCGCGTGGAGCTTCAAAATAAAGCACTTCTTTTGCTCCATTATTGACCTGAATCAACTTTCCTATTAGAGTAAATAAAGCTCAGTCAAAAAAGTTATTTTAGGCTTTTTTTTTTAATATTATAAGCATCACACCTCGAGTATCCCAGTCAATGTGAGTAATGTAACTTGAGGAACCTTTGCATATCCCCACTCTTTTAGTTGAAAAAACATTGTATATATCAACAAAGCCATCATGAGAAGCAACTGCCAAATATTTGCCTTCTTCTGCAATAAAAAGATTATTTTTTAAAATAAATTATATATATATATATATATATATATATATATATATATATATATATATATATATATATATATATATATATATATATATATATATATATATATATATATATATATATATATATATATATAAAAGGATAAATGGAAAATTTTCTTAACGAAAATAGGTAGGCAACGCGAATTGTTTACACACATAAATTATTACACAACTAACCTGATAAGAGTTTATAAAGATGTATAAAGGTATTTACACACATAATATACTACAGACCTGGAGAGAACTTTATATCAGAAATTTCTTCTTTTCTATGATGAAAGTTGCAAATATCAGCTAATGTATTGCTGTTCATTACAGTAAAACTGCCATCAACAAAACCCACTGCTAATGCACGACCATCTGGAGAGTATGTAGCGCAGCGTCCAGATTTTTCAAATATTTTTAATTTAAAGAGCTGATATTTAGAAATATCCCAAATGCGCAAACATTTGTCATCACCAATCGTTGCACAAAAATTTTCACTAGGATGTTGTGCTAACCCCCATAATTCACCTTCACAATGACCCTGTAGCAATATTTTATAGTCATTTACATTTTAAATTTAAAACTACAGAATACCTACCTGAAAATCATATCTAAACTAGAAAGAGAAATATTACCTGAACTAAAGAAGTGAGTGGGCCAGCCTTATCAATCTCAAGAATCTAAGAGGTTAAATGAAGAAATAAACAACAACAACAAAAAAAACAACTAAAAAACAACCACAAAGTAAATAATTTATTTATATTTGGTTTTCATTTTGATAGAAAATGACAATCTTTGTCAATATGTCAAAAAAAATCCTTCCCTTTTTTCATGCAAACCCAAGTACAAAAACAAACCTGGTTTTTAAAAAAAAACCTGGTTAAATGACATCTAGAAGAAAAAAGAAGTTTAAGCTCTCTTTTGAAGGTAAGATAAAATACAATTATAATTTATTTCAAAACAAGTAAAAACATTTAAAATATATTAAACTTGAACTTAAAAAAATAAATTTTATTCAAAACATAAAAACTTGCTATGAATCTATGTTTCACATATCTCACTTGCTATAGAAAGATCTAAAACTTGCTATAGAGGGATCTACAATATTATCCACTACTATTATCCACGTAACTACTAGCAGTAGAACTTACTATTATCCACTTAACGCAGTAGAACTTACTATTATCCACTTAACGCAGTAGAACTTACTATTATCCACTTAACGCAGTAGAACTTACTATTATCCACTTAACGCAGTAGAACTTACTATTATCCACTTAACGCAGTAGAACTTACTATTATCCACTTAACGCAGTAGAACTTACTATTATCCACTTAACGCAGTAGAACTTACTATTATCCACTTAACGCAGTAGAACTTACTATTATCCACTTAACGCAGTAGAACTTACTATTATCCACTTAACGCAGTAGAACTTACTATTATCCACTTAACGCAGTAGAACTTACTATTATCCACTTAACGCAGTAGAACTTACTATAGAGTGATTACTATTTATAATCTTCTCAGACCATCTGACATTGAAAGTAGTGATGACAATAATAATGGCCATGAATATACATCAATTACAATGAAGAAAGTTAAGTAATTCAAATCAATCAATTCAAAGCGTTTAAAAAGGATTTCTGAAGCTACAAGAACTAGTTTGAATGTGTCTCCACAATAAAAATGTGTTGTAATAAATTATAATAAATAAAAAATAATTAAAATAAATTAATTATAAATATAAAGTAGAGATTTGCATTTATTAAATAGTTTAAGTATAAATTATTCTTTTTTTGGTATATATTTTTACAATACTTTTTTTTACAATACTTTTTTTATGGTAAGACCTTTTTTCAAAAAAAAATTTTAAACAACTTCTGAGTTTCTATACTAACTTTTAAACAACTGAAACATTTTATTAATATTGATTATTAAATATTAGTTCAAGCTAAACTATATAAACTCCATAAATTAATTACTTTTTTTAACAAAATTTAAAATTTCAGTTACTGATTTTTTTTTACACATTTTAATTGCTAAACTAATATTTGTTTTGCGCTGACAAGGTCATAAACAAAAAATAAATAGACTGACAAGACAGCAAGATAAAAAAAAATACTACTACAAATTTTTTTGAAATTGAACTTTTAACAAACACAACATTTTTATATTACTTTGGTTAATAAAACAAATTAACACTTATTTTAAATCTTATGCTCACATAGTCAACTTGTTTCTCTGTGCAGCAGCCTTGTTCGTCAAGGTTCGTGTTTCGGAGTTATAGAGTTGAGAGTGGGTTATAACCACTATTAAGTAGCCTCCTCGTCTGTAGTGGCCTTATCGGCCTTAAGAAGGTGAATAACAAAAAACAAAAACAAAAAAAAACTTTAGTAAATTTAAATGTAATAAATTTTAAGATAGAACTTGGTTAAATTTAAAAAAATTAAAAACTAAAAACAAAAAAAGGAATACAAGGAAAGAACCCTGAAGCCTTAACTTTACTAAAGTTGACCCTCGGTATCTCGATTACTCGATATCTTGAACTTTATTTCAGGTCCTTTGCACATATCTCAAACTTTTTTCCCGGTCACCTGAGAGTTTGAGATATCGAGAGTCAACTGTATCTTCCATCTTGTCTTTTGTCTTTATAGTGTGTTAAAGAATAGAAGATAGGACTTTTTATTCATTGACAAAGTCCTTAAACTTGACATAAGAACAACTGGGATTTTTTTTTAAGACATCACTTATAATCATCTCTTTTGAATTTTACCATTATAAACAACTTACATAAGAGTTTTAATAAAACTCTTATGTTTAAAGAACTGTAATAAAACTCCTCATTCAAGGAATGAACCAACTGAACATGACAATTTTCAAAAGCTTGTCAAGTTCCATAACATGTAAAAGGTTGTTAAAGTATGATTTTTGAGTACAACATTAAGTCTCTTGTTAAGACTTTTAACTGCACTAAGAATGATCTTTATGAAATGAAATTCATGTCTTTCATAGATGACATGTCTACACATTAACCAAAGTATCTATTCATCACAAAAAATATAATAGCCTCATTGGCACAATATTTTCTAGTGTTGCTGTTAATGCTATATCTAAACACAATTAAATAGATGGTAAGACATCTCATAGTATTCAAAAACAATTTAGAAAATAGTATGGTCAAACAACTCATAGTAATCAAGAACTATGGTCAAACATCTCATAGTATTCAAATCTTAATTGCCTAATGAATTCCTTTTTAAAAGATTTTGATTCACAATGCAGCTTTTATTAAAAATCTCATGCATGGCTCAGATTTTGTTACCTTACCTAAAGGTAAACCTGAATTGTTTGCTAAGAACTTTTCATCAATCTTATCTCTTGATTCTACTAACCACATCCTACCTGATATAACTATAACCAACAAACAATTTGATCTGCTGCTTGACATTCGTATCATTCCAGCTTCTGTATCTAAAGTAGTGTTGAAAATTTCTGCAAAATTTACGGAAATTTTCAACCATAATATTTTGCGGAACAAGTAACAGAAGACATAAGAAACAAACAAATTAATAGTTTGTTTGTTCTGATACTTGTTCCGCAAATTATTAGGGTTGAAAATTTCCGGAAATTTTCAACACTAATCTAAAGTGACTCTTCTACAGCTAATTCTTCAACACTAATCTAAAGTGAATCTAAAGTAGACTCTTTTACAGCTTGTGGTCCAGACAACATACCTGTTATAGTCTTGCAAAAGTGTTCTCTGGAGCTGTTGTCTATACTTTCAAAACTATTTAATAAGTGCTTATCAGAGTCTTGTTTTCTAGCAAGCTGGAAAGTTGTATCTGTTATCTCTATTTTTAAAAATCCCGGAGAGCGATCTGACTCACCTCTCATTAGTCTCTGACCTGACCTTCCAATTAGTCTTTTTCCTGTCATAAGCAAGGTTTTTGGTCCTTTAACTAACAAACACCTAATCTTGAATCTTGAATTCTTATAACTTACTTTCTGATCATCAATATGGATTTTGCTTTTCTAGTTCTACTGCTAATTTTTAAATGGTAATAACAGAGAGGTTTTATAGTGCATTAGATAGATGTGGAGAGGTTAAGGTTATCTCCATAAGCTCTTTTTTTACAGTGTATCAGGTAACATCTTTAAGACTATTAAATCCTTCCTTACCAATTGTAGTATTAAAGTTGTCCTGGGTGGACAACACTCTTCTTCATTTCTTGTAACTTCATGGGTTCCTCAAGGTTCTATCCTTGGCCCCAATCATATATCAAATCCATTGCAAAATTAGCATCTGCTAAGGTTGAATTTCTTTATCATGCTTGCCACTTTCTAACTCCAAATTCTATTCTTTGTCTTCTTAAATCTCAAATTTGTCCTTGTATGGAATAATGTTGCCATATCTGGAGCGGTTCTTTAAATGATGCCCTTTCTTTTTTAGACAAGGTAAAAAACGCATGGTAAACATAGTTTTGACCTGCTCTTGCAGCCAACCTTCAACCATTGTCTCTTGTAAAACTCTTATAACTCATACTTATTTTAAGATGGAGATTTTGAATTTCATAGGTTCAAATAGTTTGATATATTAAACAGTTATATAAATATATAAATTATAAAATAAATTAACTAAATATCCATACTGGAGAGTAGTTAAGTACAGTCCAATTATTTATTTACATTAATTTAACTGTTATGGTGACTAATGACATTAATTTAACTGTTACAAGAAGAATGATTAAGAATATGGTATTGCTTTGACAAAAACAAAAAAAAGTTTTTAGTTTTACTAACAAATAGTGAATCTGAATTATATATACTTAAAATGTTTGTTATTTTGGCACAAGATATTTGAATATAAGATTTAATATAAGATTTTATGGTAATATTAGTTAAAAAACAATCACTAAAATCAAATTTCTCCAAATATACACAGAAACCACAATTCATAATAAAAATATTTCGTTAACAACACAAGTAACTTCAAAAAAGCATCAGCTCAGATTAATACTCTATGATAACATTCCTCTCACAACAAATGGTGTTTTTCAAACTAAGAACCCAAAGCACAAACAACTTCAAATAAGAAAAAAACAGTATCTGCTTCAGCATCCTTGAAACAATCTCAACTACAAAATCATTAATGTGATATTAAAACTTTTATGAATTCTTGCTAGATTAGGAAAATAATTTAGTTCTTATCTAATTTAGTCAAGTAAGATATAAACTTTGATTTTACTTTTTAAAGATGCAAATCTTTTAACCAATAAAATAAATCCACTTTTTAAGGTACTAATACTTACAGCTGTTATAGCCAACAAGAGGTAATAGAAGGTTCAACAATTTTTATAGATTAAAGTAAAGTAAAAGTTTATGTTTAAAAAAATATATATATTATTAACTATGACAACAAAAATCATTATCAAAGTAATAAAAATAAATCTAAGAAAGCAAAATGTAAAAACAAAGTTGAATTTTAGGGTTAGTAATAAGTTACTTTAATCTCAAAGAAATGTCATCTATGCATCTAATTCATCAATATGGATTTTAACCTATATATACACATGCAGCAAAACATTTGCAAAACTATTATACTTTTTATATTATACAAACTAATCTCACAACAAAACTTCGATTAAATAAAATTAAGTAAAAGTTTAAACATACTTCTCCATTTTTTGTACCAATAAGAATTTTTCCTTGTCCAAGTGTGACAGCACGTATTGGTGGATTGTCATAGACTAAAACATCTTTAGACTGACCAGATGCCAGATTAGCTTTATTAACTTTATAACTTTTTAAGCACCTACTCATTACATCATCCCACAAACAAACTAACCCATCCTTTCCACCTGAGACAAAACCCTATAAGTACAAAATTATAATTTATATTGTATTTTTAGGTTTAGAAATAAACCAGAATTGTTTGCACTAATTTTTTAAACAAAAAAACTAAACAAGTAAAGAGAAACATACTTTTTAACATTTTTCTATTTTAATATTAGAAAATTGAATATATAAAAAAAAAAATCAAACTTTTTCAAGAGCTTGAATCGCAAACACTGGCCCTTGATGGGCTTGTACTGTAGACTTTAACAATTCCTCATTCCAAACATAGATAAGTCCACTTAAACCACCTGAAACAATGATCCCAGGAGATTTCGAATAAGTCACGCAAAGGTGAGTGTCTGGTTTAGCTACTTTTCCATATATTCCACGTTTATGTATCAATCCACCTCCTGTCTGAGTCCAAAATTTTATATGACGAATACCAACAGTTACAAGCTTGTCAGAATTGTTTGAGTCCCATCGTACTTCAAAAATCTTATCTTTATGGACACTAAAACATAAAATATTTCTTTAAACTAATTTTCACAATGTGATTAGACAAACCATTGTGATGCTTTTTTTTTTTAATCATTAAACAGTTATTTAACAGTTATTTTTTTTTAATCAGTGTTACCTTGCAATTGAAAGTTTTTCACCTCTCCTCCAATCCCATATCACTATGCTGTGATCTTCATCTAAACCAATGCTAGCCAACTTTTTACCATCAGCTATAAATTGAATATATATATATATATATATATATATATATATATATATATATATATATATATATATATATATATATATATATATATATATATATATATATATTACAAAAAATGATAATGCATACATATGCATATATAGAATGAATTATTTAATTCAGTAGCTGCCAATTTCATCAATTGACATTTTTTTCAAAAATGATATTATTATACATTATAAAAGGCCAACTTTGGTCACACTGCCTTATGCAGAAACATGTAAACTCTCAAGCCTTTGGGTTTCATTTTGTTTTTAAATTTTCATTAATTGTTGATGATAATACAATTAAACATAATGTCATTAGAAAAGTGTAGACATTAAGAGTAAAAAGTAAAAAATACACAAAATACAAAGATGACCTTGTTTCTAGTAATTCTATTCCAGTATGCAACTGTCGTGGAAAATGCAGTTTGCATTTTGGTAATGGAACCTTGAACTGTTTTTAATAGTTAAAAACTAAAAACAAACAAGATTTGCATTTACAAACATTAAGAGAGGCTAGGGCAGTTAAGAGTAGAAAAAAAAGAAACGCTCAGATGATACTGCTACATGTTCATCACGAACCCCACACAAAAAAAGTAAAACATTTGTGTAATAAGTAAAAATTAATGATAAGTTTTGTCCAGTTAGCAAATATACTTTTTTACAAATATATGGTGTTTCTGGAGATCGAGTTGCAAAGTTATTACTGTGGAATCTAACACCTGTTGATATAAGAAGCAAAAAGTCATAAGGAAAATGTAGTTGATAATATGTGTGCTGATCCATGAATAGATTTCAATTTTACCACTTCCATTAATACTTTTACAGGTGATGAGGATTACAGGTGATGAGGATTACAGGTGATAAGGAAGTATATGTGGTTAAATGTATTTTGTGTATATAAAATGAAAACAAAAAAGTATATAAAATGAAAACAAAAATGTGATCGAGCCTGTATGCTGAAATAATTCCTGAATCTAGTAAACTAGGACATTTTACTGTTCACTAAGTAACAAACAATATGCTCTATGACTTTTAATACTAGGCAGCCACATTTTTACAAGTACTGTCAATTCAGATGAAATATAATATATATGTATATTAGGGATGCACAAAGTCTAAGGGGTTTTCCACCTTAAGGCGTTTGCTAGGTGGACCATTGGACATACTAAAAAAATTATATATATAAATATATATATATATATATATATATATATATATATATATATATATATATATATATATATATATATATGTATATATATTCAACACACTGTTTGTAGTTTCAAAATATACCTTTCAGAGCTGTTTTCGAGTAGAGAATAGTAGATTATACCCCAGAAAAAAAACGTGTTTTAAAAAATATATATATATATCTCCGAGTATGCAATTTTTTGCTAAAAGTGCACTAATTCCGCTTTAATAAGAATTAGAAGAAAAAAATGGGGCGAGATAAAGTCTTGAGAATTACATTATAATTCTCAAAACTTTGAGAAAAAAATAAACATAATAAAACATGTCCAAAAAAATATTTCCAAAATAAGTTAGATGTTTTGAACTCAAAACATCTAACTTATTTTTTAAAGATTTAAATAATTGAAAAAAAAAACAAATAAAAACAAACTTATAAACTGTTTGAAAAATTAGAAAAAAAACTTTGGGCAGCAATTCCACATAGTTTCATTGATCACCTAATCAAATCTATGCCTCAAAGATGCAAGGCTGTGATTGACAACAAAGGATTCGCCACAAAATATTGATAGCGAAATACAGCTTGGTCAACATTTTGTGGAGTTGCACTTGTTTTGTCAAGAAGGAAATCAACTTTTTTTAATACTTTTGATTAATTTAATAATTTTCGTGTACAAATAATGAACTTTGTAATGAATAAAACTTGAACAACGTCTCAAAACAGTTACATAGTTATGCAGAAAAAATGAACATAGTTATGTAGAAAAAATGCAGCACTTTTATATAAAGAAACTAAATTAGCATTATTTGGTTGCACTTGTTTTGTCCGATACTGTATATATATATATATATATATATATATATATATATATATATATATATATATATATATAAAATGTACAATTATAACATTAGATAAAAATTAAAAAAAAAGAAAAGAAAATGATAAGGTAGTTATTAGCACTTTCTCTGGTGTGCTCAACATATACACCAAACCAAAACTAAATATATAGAAGAAAAATTGAAAGCTGAAAAATTACTTTGTAATCTAAAACTGATTGAGCAATTGAATCTTTTAATAGTTAAAAACTTTATAAGACAACTACATGTTGACATGACAACTAGAGAACTACAGGTTGACATGACAACTAGACAACTACAGGGTGACATGACAACTAGACAACTACATGTTGACATGACAACTAGACAACTACAAGTTGCAGAAATACTATATTTAACAATATAGAGGCTGCACTCAAAATGGTAACTTCTAGATTATCTTATTTATTTAAAAACCTATGTAAATTGTACCATCCAAACTGTTCTATAGTAACCTCTAAAGATAATATATAGTTTGATTTAAGGCATGTATCAAAAACCAGACCGTAGAAATAACTAATATCAATCAAACCAATAAAAATATTTAAATCTAATATCTAATTATTCAACTTATATTTTTTAAAACAATAAAATAAAGCTTTATACAAATGCACAGACAAACTTTTTATGCTTTCATAGATTATATTTAAAAAAGGAGTCACATGCCTTTAGAAATTAGAAGAAACTCTGCAAATAAAAAAGAAAATCTTAGAAGAGGAACAAAATTAAGGTAAAAAAGGATTTTACAATATCATCACTCAAAGTAACAAGACAGAAGGTTAAAAAAGATATTCAAAATTTTAATATATCTTCTCTAAAATCTCATTCAAAATCTTTAAAACATATGCTCTCAGAAGAAAAGCAAAAAGTTGACATGATAAAAAAAAGGATTAAAGGTGATTGGAACTATTTTGCCTCCGAACAACATTTTAAATTACAATTAATTTATTTCTATCATATTTAAAAATATATTTTAGTATTTTTTTTGAAAAAGTGATATATCTTTGAAATTATAGTTCTATATTTCTATAATTTTTCCAGTTGGATGTTAAAAGTCTTTTGTAAGTTTTGTAGCATATTTTTACAAATTAGTATTGAGTTTCTTTTATTTAAGTTTAGAGCATTTGAGATCTTAACTGTAGCGTTTTAAGATTTTCATGAATAGACATATTAAATCTGTTGATTGTTTTACAACTAGAATTATAAAGAAACTAATGATACTCATGATACAACCATTATCCATTGTCACATAAAAAAGAATTTATAATTTACTTATAATTTTTCCAAAATAATTTTCACTTTTGATGACAACAAAGAAAAATGTTTCCCAGAACTAAAATCTAAAAATAATGTGAATATCCTAATAAGATTATAAAATAATTAAATTCTATTTTTAAGAAGTTAAAACATTTACAACACCAAATAATACTATATGGAAGAATATATAACAATACTGCTTGTAATAGTAAGAATAAAGTATATTATTAAAATGTTTATCATATAACAAGAAAGCAACATACACAAAACAATTAGGAAAACAAATGATTTAAAACTTCACTAAAATGCACACATTTCTAGTTATAGGACTAACAGATAGATTTGATAACCATGGATACAATTATCAACATGCACTCCATTGCAAATTGCAATACTATTATACAACCTGCAATTCCATTATAGAACCTGCAATTTCATTATAGATATGCAATTCTATTATAGAACCTTTTTTCCAAAATTAATATCAAATAAAAAACATCTGCACAACTAAAAACATGATACTTTTAACTGACATTTCCTGTTGATAATGAATATGAAAACAGTAAATGATGTTTGTTCCAAATAAAAAAATATAATATTGGTATTTCATACAAGAACAGATAAAATACAATGGTGGTACTTAAAAAAAAAAAAAAAGATAAAAGATTTATAACTCTAGAGATTGGAATCTGGAGTAAATTTACAACCTCTTTACAGTTCCAGTAATTTCGTTTTACAATTGATTGAATATACACTAAAAGAAATAAGTATCTGAACAAAACATTTTCTTGTTTTTCTTCTTTTAGTTTTTTTGTTTATATTTTAATGACTTTATTTAGAATTTAAATACAATGTTTGCTTTTCCAATTTTATTTTAATTATTTAAAATTTAAATTAATTTTTTTGTTGCAGTTTTTATTTAAAATAGCAAGTAAAATAAAGTTTTACAATTCTGAGGTCAGCAAAAAAATGCCAACCTCAGATATTGTGGGGTTGGCACACACACAAATATATATGTATATATATGTATATATATATATATATATATATATATATATATATATATATATATATATATATATATATATACATACAAGCCTCTGAATTAGGGTAGGCATTCGGCAATGCCGACCTAAAAGTGTTTGAGGTCAGCAAAAAATTGCTGACCTCATTTCTACGTTTTATGGTCAGACCTTTGGATCAAATAATTTTTACCACCTGATGTCAACCTCAAACACTTTTAGGTCGGCATTGCTGAATGGCGAACCTAACTCCAAGGGTTGTATGTATATATATATATATATATATATGTAAATGTATATATATATATATATATATATATATATATATATATATATATATATATATATATATATATATATATATATATATGTATATATATATATATATACACACACACACACACACATATATATATATATACACACACACACACACATATATATATATATAGACACACACACACACACACACACACACACACACACACACACACACACACACACACACACACACACACATATATAGACACACACACACACACACACACACACACACACACACACACATATTAAGGTGATGACTTTTTAATAACCCTGTATTATAATTTGACGAGCTTTCATTAAAGATTAGATAAAATCTTACTTTCAAGGTGATTTGATAAAAAAATGTCACGCACAAAATGATTTAAAATTTTTTATTTTTAGCTTTTTTGCCTAATTTTTGAGTTCCCTTTAAGCAGTTATGAAATTGAACAATGCTTTAGAGTCACATATATGTAACATTTTATAAGGTCATCAAACGCACAAGGAAGTCATTTATTTACAATAATGAACCAGTCGGGATATGCGACTCCTTTTACTCAAGGATGCTTTGTATATTGTCACTTTACCTCATCTTGATGGCGTATGAAATTGGATTAAGTTTGCCCAAGTTTCCTTATTCTTTTCAGTTTAAAAAGAGCTCTTTTTATAAATAAATAATAGAAAAGACCTAAACGTAAATATTAAACACATAAAATAAATTAAAGAAACTGTTACTGAGTTTATATATAATTTATATAAAAACAAGAAATCAAAACTATAGAAAACAAAAAAAGTAAGACACTAATAAAATATTTTATGCACAGTTATATGTTTGTATATAAACCACAAATATCAATACAGCTCACCAAATGATACAAGATCTCTTTTCATTAGGCAATAATAGTGTTGACACAAAATTAAGCTAATTTAAGCTTAACTATCTGCTTTGAACTCATATATCAGTTTGTAACACTGCAAAATAGCTATAAAAAATTTTGCAACTCTACAGGAGCTTCTTGAACACAAAACGCTCTATGATATTCTGGAAAATTCTAAACAATTCTCTGAAGGCAGCATGGTGAAATTTTTTACGGGGGTTCATTTGGTAAAACGAAGAAGTTTAGAGCAAAAAATAAATATTTGGTTTGATTTTTATAACAACATTTGCATAAAAAACAAAGACCACTTGATACATATATATATATATATATATATATATATATATATATATATATATATATATATATATATATATATATATACACACATAATTAAATCTAAATTTTTGATGTTCAAAAGTTTGTTTTTAAAGTGATTTTTATGTTTAAAAGGTGTTTTAAAAAGATTTTTAAAAAGATTTCAAAAATCATTTTAAAACACCTTACAAGCCTTATAACCATAATTAAACAAAAAAATCATCGGGTAAAATATTCAAAACTTATATCTAGCAAAACTCACCAGAAAAATCTAATGCACAAACGCCTCGAATATGATGTCTTGCAAGTATAGATAAAACATTCATTGTTTCAATATCCCAAATATGAATGGTTGGATCTCTACCTATCTGTTTATTAAAAGTTAAAAATAAATATTAAATTAAAATTATAAAAATCTTCACCATCTTCACTCAAACTGAAATAATTAAACTAAACAAAAAGGCTAAAAATTTTACATTTATACTTTTCAACACTTCTATAATATTAACTTTAATAGTGACATATCCAGAAATTTTTTGGGCACACCAGTCTAAATATCCTGTCTATGTTTGGAGGATTATTTTTTTCTTAAGAAGAAAAATTTTAAAATATATAATATACCTTGCCCTAATATCTTGCAATTGCGTAAATCGCATTAAATTATGTTTTTAGAAATAAAAATATAAATAATTAACTAAATTAGTCATTAATGTAACATTGACAGCTTTAACATCTACATTGATTGGCTGTTAATTTCCATTTGCTTATTATATGTTTATTTAATATTCATTTGTTCACTTTATTCACTAACTAATATAAAAAATCAAATCAAATTTATTTTCTCATTGCTTCTCCCATGAATTGTGGGTACTCATGAGACAAGTAGCATAATTATAATATTTAACAAACAATATATTTATATTAATAATTTATATAAAATATTTATAGATCTATATATAATTATATGAACAATACATTTATATTTCTTTTAAATCAGTGGTTCCCAACCTTTTCTAACTCGTTCCCCAAATTAAATATCCCAAAATCTTCATGGACCCCTTTGATTTTAAAAATTATTACAAGGTGAACATTTTAATAATGTAACTTTTATTCATAAGGATAATATTTTATTTAAGGTATTTTTGAATAGACTAGACACAAAATCAATATTTATCAATGACACAAAAATTTTTTATCATAGTTTATGTATGATACAAGAACAGATCAGTGTGAATTCTGACACTGCTTACTAGCAATTAATATCTGAAAATTTGGTTTAGTTTTTGATAGAGCACATCTAATATCTGCATCAATATCAAGTCTATTTCTTTTTTTTGTTTTAAGAGATAGCATTGCTGAAAACCCGGCTTCACACAAATATGATGTTGAAAAAGGAATAAGGGCTTTAAGTGCAATTGATGAACACAATGGATATGAATTCCTCATTTTCAACCAGAAGTTATTTAATGGTGCTACTTTGAAGTGATCCTTAGCCGTGGTATCATTTTTAACTCTATAAACTCTTCTTGTGCTTCCTCTTTCACATTTTTCACATCACAAGAAAATGGTGATATAATAACTTCACTGCTCAAAAGATTCATATCTGGAAAATAGTTACCAAATTCAGTAATCAAATTATCTAGGTGACAAACTATTTCTGTCTTTATAACTTCAGGAAGCATGTTAACTCCAATTATGTTATTTAAATTTTGAAACATGATCAAGTTTCCATTATTAATTCTAGTCTTGTACAGTTTGAGCTTTTCAATAAATGCCTTCAGTTTATCTGAATGTCTAATAACATTAGCATTTTTGCCTTGAAGTTGCAAATTTAACTTGTTAAAATGACCTACGATGTCCACAAGATAAGCAGTTGTTATTTCAAAATTATCAAATTCAAAATATTCTACCAGTCCACTTTTCATTTGACATAAAAATTCTTTCACTTCATTTCTAAGCATGAAAAATCTTTCCAAAAAATTTCCAGCAGATAGCCATCGCACAGAAGTATAAAACAATAACTTATTGTGTTCAGCATTTAGGTCAGAGCAAAATTTTGTAAAAAGGCGAGTGTTAAGAGCAGAAGATTTTATATAATTGACCAACTTGACTAATTGATTAAATACAGTTTTCAAACTACCTGGTAAAGTTTTGGTTGCCAAAGCCTGTCTATGAATAAAACAGTGTACACCAACTACATTTGGAGCAATCTCTTTCACCCTAGTCTGTAATCCAGACTTACAACCCATCATGGCAGGAGCTCCATCAGTAGTAATTCCAAACAAATATTTCCATTGTAATTGATTGTCATTGAAAAACTGTTTTAAAATTTCCATAATATTAGCTGCTTTTGTTGTTGTTTCAAGGCAAGAAGAAAACAAAAATTCTTCTTTAAATTTGTTATTGTGAATATACCTACAATATACAATTAGTTGTGCCATTGAACTTACATCTGTGGACTCATCCAACTGAATAGAAAAATATGGGGATTCTTTAATTTCATTAATAACATTTTCTTTAATGTTTGATGAAATATCCATTAGCCTTCGTTTGACTGTAGTATTTGATAAAGATATATTATCTACCTTCTTTGCAGCTTCTTCTCCAAATAATAATCTAACGATTTCTTTTGTACATGGAAGTATAACTTCTTCAGCCAATGTGTGAGCTTTTTTGTTCTGTGCTATTATATATGAAACCTTATAGGATGCTTCTACTATATTCTGTTGAGTTTGGTAAATAATCCTAGTTTTATCCAATTTGCATCTCTTCAGTGATTCAAATTTTCTTTTGAAAAAATCAGTATCTTTTGTTTGGAGATCAGGATGGCACTTATTCAAGTGAATAGCAAGCTTTGAAGGTTTCATAGAGTCATTTCCTAGTACTTTATAACAAATAACATACTGTGGGTAGCTAATGGTTTCTTTAAGCATGTAGGTAAATCCATATCTCATGTATTCATCTAAGTATGACCTTTTTTTACTTTTAGACATCTAAAGTATTTAAAAAATAATATAAAAAGCATCTATAGATAAGAGTAGTATAGTATCGAATTTTTATAGAAAATAACACAAATTACGTTCTTTCAAACAAATCAGTAAGGTTATCTTTACCATGAGATAAGATTTTAACATTTTAAATTTACGGATAAAAAATGATATTATATAGCATTTATTACTTCGTAGAGATCCGCAAGTCCTCGTCGAATTAGTTAACGCAAATTTTGTGTAACAGCTTTCTTGCATAAATTACATTTTTAATTTAAAATTTAATTTGTTTCTTTCAACAGAAAAAAATAATCAAAATTAAGTTTCACTACCAAAAAATATTTAGAATTTACATTTATCTTGTGGTCCGCTTAAAAAGTTCTTATGGACCCCCAGGGGTCCATGGACCACCGGTTGGGAACCACTGTTTTAAATAGACTAAAAAGATTTATTACACAACATATTTATTGCAAAGCAAAGTCATTAATTCACTCAAAAGTTAACAACTTTTTTTGCTGTTCTTAACTTACTTTTTAAATCAAGTTTTTTTGGCAAGATTGTTATGTTAATATATTTTAAACAACTTTTACTTATTTTATTATTTAAAACTATTTATTTACATTTTTACTGAAATGTTATTATTACTTAAAATGAGAAAGTTTAAAGATTATAGAGTTTGTCAATTATAGTTATGAAATTGTAAGTGGAGGCAAAACTCATGCATTTTAAGTGTATTTTAAAACAAGTTAATGCTTTTGTTAAAGGAATAATAAAAATATAAAATAGCTAAGCATTTCATATTTTAATCCAATCAAAACGTGCGTTCTACATTTAATCCAATTGTAACATTCTGTAGCGTTCTGGTTGACTTAAAATATATTTTAAAAGCCGTTTGGAAATGACAATAACAATTTTGTAATAATCATAACAAATTTTATTATTACAAAAAAGTAAGATAATAAGTAATAAAGAACTGTTTTATTTAAATATTTTTATGGCAAACTAGGTGCTAATATTAAATTGTTTTAAATTGAGTTTGGGCAGAAACTCGGGGGCCCATACCAGTATACCAGTATCGAAATTGGTCTGGATACATCGCTGAAAAGCTTTCTATATTTCTAAAACTAAGCTTTTCATTGAATAAAAACTAATAATTAAAAAAATATATATCAATTAAAAATTAAAATACTTCTAACCTGGCCAGTTGCAACATAGTCTTTTATAGGATGCAATGTTAGACATAAAATGTCATCATCGTGACCCAGATAGAAACGCTGGTTGTTTGTAATAGGATTGATAACAATACCTACAGCAGCTATATGATAAACAACTTCATTTGATTGTGTATAAAATAAATTGTTTCGACAATCATATCCACGATATCTAAGAAAATATAATTCTACTATTTTATAAAGATGCAAACAATAATAAACCATTATAAAAAAAAAATTTGAATCAAAAGATCTTCATTAAATCAAATTGTTTTTTTGCACAGCAATCTTGTTTTTCAAGGTTAGTGTTTTCAGAGTAAAAGATTTGAGAGAGGATTGTAACCACAATTTAAAAAAAAAAAAAAGTAAGAGAGTGACAGTGAATTACATATGCATTAATTGTTATAGGACTTTTAATGAAAACAAAACAAAATCAATATTTTTCAAATTTCTTATGTACAAAAATTTATAAATTTTAAATGTTAATCAGCATACCCAAAAACATGATTAAGTTTAATGCTTTTAGCAGGCGGGGAAGGGCGCGGTTGTTTAGATTCTGTGGATAATTTTAGTTCTCTCTGTATTTTAGGAAGATCTTCTTTGTAAATCTGACGATCATAATCAATACTTATTTCCTAAGAATGTATTTAAAATAACAAAATTTACATTTCATTAAATTTTTGCAGAACAAATTTGGTTAGAATGTATTTAGAAACAACAAAAACAACAATAAAAACCTGCTCTATATCACTGTCTATAGGATTGATATCAGATAGATCAGAATCACTAGCTTCATCATTTGAATCATAGTAAAGCCCATCTGAAACCATTTCAAAATTAAAATTATCTTCTTTGTATCCTTCGGAAACTACACGCCACTGAAATATTGCATGATCTGCACCACCAGTTGAAACAAGATACAAACCATCATATGAAAATCTAACATTTGTCACATGAGCTGAATGGCCAACATATTTTCGAAACTTAGCTCCTAATAATTTATATTGATTTTTATTAAAATAATTTTTAAAAAGATTTCAGGTTATTTATTAGTATATGTTATATTAAATCAAATTTAACCTTTATTAATGCATGGGAATCTAAATAGTTTCACTAAACCAAAGTCATCCCCTGTGGCAATAAGCCCTAGTTGAAAATTGGTGTCTGTTGCATTAATATCTGTTGTATCACAGTACTTTTCCCATATACCATTAACTTCTGGACCAAGTACAGAAGTCCAGGATTTCCAATGTATTGCCTCAATTTCATCTGTATTAGTTACAATCTTACCTGAAAAAATATGATTCATTTATTCATTCATTTAAAAAACATTACCCATTCATTTGTTTAAAAAGCAACATTCATTTATTTTTTTTAAAATCATTTGTTCATTCATTCATTTAAACAACATTCATGATAAATTAGTTGAAATATTATATAACTCCAAATATTATTATTATCATTTTTTGTCAAACTTATATATTCAAAAGTCTACGAATAATGAGGCTTAAACTGTTATTACAACTCATTAAAAAACCATTGTCTACTTGTCATCATCCTAATAAAAAAAATAGTCTACTTGCCATCACCCTAATAAATAAAAAACCATTGTCTACTTGTCATCATCCTAATAAAAAAAATAGCCTACTTGCCATCATCCTAATAAATAAACAACCATTGTCTACTTGTCATCATCCTAATAAAAAAAATAGTCTACTTGCCATCATCCTAATAAAAAAAATAGTCTACTTGCCATCATCCTAATAAATAAACAACCATTGTCTACTTGTCATCATCCTAATAAAAAAAATAGTCTACTTACCATCATCCTAATAAATAAACAATCATTGTCTATTTGCCAAACTAATCAAACTTCAGTTTTGTTTTAACAGAGTATAAGAGTTGGTTTTTTAAATAAAAAAAAAAGATGACATTAAGTGTTAACATTAACTTTATTTAAACATGATAAACTTTGTTTTTTTGAAAAATACAATTTTTATTAAAAACTAATTCATTATTATTTTAATGTTTAACTTGTAATGGTTTAAATCTTTGTTCATTCATAAACAATAACTTTCCATTCACTCAATCTTGACTAGATTGCCTGTGCAACAGATAATCACGTGAATAAATATAGATTTTATGAAATATTGTGTAATTATAAAAAATCAAGATAACCAAGGCATAAAAACCACTCTTTTTAATAATAACTGAGACACGAGGCTGTTGTTTGTTAATTATTAAATTATATCATTTTTATTTAATTATTATATTATTAATTATTTTTTCATCAATGGTGAATTTAAAAAGTTAATTCCAATTTAATTTAAATTGGAATAGCCACAGTCCATCAGTTGATGTACATCTTGTGTACATCAGTTGATGTACATCTTGTGTACATCAGTTGATGTACATCTTGTGTACATCAGTTGATGTACATCTTGTGTACATCAGTTGATGTACATCTTGTGTACATCAGTTGATGTACATCTTGTGTACATCAGTTGATGTACATCTTGTGTACATCAGTTGATGTACATCTTGTGTACATCAGTTGATGTACATCTTGTGTACATCAGTTGATGTACATCTTGTGTACATCAGTTGATGTACATCTTGTGTACATCAGTTGATGTACATCTTGTGTACATCAGTTGATGTACATCTTGTGTACATCAGTTGATGTACATCTTGTGTACATCAGTTGATGTACATCTTGTGTACATCAGTTGATGTACATCTTGTGTACATCAGTTGATGTACATCTTGTGTACATCAGTTGATGTACATCTTGTGTACATCAGTTGATGTACATCTTGTGTACATCAGTTGATGTACATCTTGTGTACATCAGTTGATGTACATCTTGTGTACATCAGTTGATGTACATCTTGTGTACATCAGTTGATGTACATCTTGTGTACATCAGTTGATGTACATCTTGTGTACATCAGTTGATGTACATCTTGTGTACATCAGTTGATGTACATCTTGTGTACATCAGTTGATGTACATCTTGTGTACATCAGTTGATGTACATCTTGTGTACATCAACTGATGGTTTATGTTTTAGGCTAGACACTTTTAATTAATGTAAAAAATCTTCTAGATTTAAAATTTCAAAAAAAAAAAAGTTGCGTCACAAAACTGAATACCCCCCTCGCTCTTGTAACAAAAATTGTCACAAAATCACTAACTCCTCCTCCCCCCTCCCTCCCATATAGGGTGATGTGAGTTATCGACAACCCTTAACATAAATTACACAATTGAAAGACAGTTAACTAAAAAGTAATAATTATTACAGAAATAAATATAAATAAATGTATTTTGTTAAACTATAGTTATTACGTTAAAAAAAAAAAAAACAACTTAAACAGCTACCAGGTATTTTAAAAAAAAATCGCTCTGAGCTGGCTGAGTTAGTCTGTAAGTAGTTACTATCTTCTGACCAATCAATATGTGTTATGTTACTTGTACTTCCTTTGCATTGACCAATTCTTTTGTACCTATCTCGTACAGAATATATATCTACAAAGCTATCATTGCACCCAACGGCTAAAAAAGCACCATCTGGTGAATAACGCATCTCATGCAGAACATCTTTGCGGTCATGAATGTGAAACAGTTCAGAAAGCTCTCTGTTTATAAAAAAATAATATTATATAAAATTAATTTCCATTAAAACATTCATGTTGGAAAAAACTATTCTACCAGACTTACTAAAAATATTTAAAAAACAGACCTTCCTTTAAGGACTCGAAATGAACCATCTCCATGACCTATCGATAAATGACTGCCATCTGGAGAGAAAGCCAAACTTCGTGTTGTGACATCAAAGACAGCTTTTGCAATCATTTCTTTATTAGACATATCCCATAATCTGTAAAGAAAATGTTTATAAAATTTCAGATCTTCAATAAGAAAAATTATTTAAACAAAATATGAAATCATTATTACAATGGTGTTTCACTTCATTTCGCCATTAATGAATCCACTGCCTACTTTTGCACTAAATTTTTAAATTTACACATTTTGGGTCATTAAAATGGCTTATATTATACTTAGTTATAAAAAATCAATCCTAATGAAAAAACTTGAATGCTTTGCTTTAAAAGTTAAAGACTGTATAGAAAATGATTTATTAAAACAAGACCTTATTACCTTAAATTATAATTTATATTAAAATTAATTTTTAGATTTCTCTCTATCTCTAAAACCAAAACAGCTATTATAACACACCAAGTACTAGTTAAACAATTTAATTCCTGTTACCAAGCAACTTGCATAAAATACTATTTAACATCTCAAGGCTGTTTAAAAACTTATGCAATACCAATGAGCAGTAAAATCTACACTTTTCACATGCTGGAAGATTACTACACAAAATTCATTATTGTTGACAGTGCATTATTTTGGTGTATTTTTTCCAGGAAAGATAACAGATCTTAAAGGTTTGTTTGTGTCTGCTGTTTACAAAAAAAATATTAAATATCTATTGATATCCAGTTACTGACATTATTGCCACATAACATGAGCCTGAGCTCAAAAAAGATGAAGTGAATTATCATTAAGTAAAAATCCAACCAAATAATTAAAGTTGTAACAATTTTTGATTTTTTTTCTCAAAGAATCTTCATTTATTTTTAATATAAAGCTTTTTAATACCCCTAGTGTATTATGTTTTTAAAAAGCTTAAACTGTTTACAATTAATTCTGAAAAACATCAAACATTTACTTAACGACATAAGACTTCTTAATTCTGTAAATTATGTTTAAAGTATCACATTTAAACAATAATGCAGAGCTCAAAATAGTTACTGTTATTTTATTTGTGCCCCCCTATCCAGTATAAAAACCAGATCAGTTTACTATTTTCCTGGATGGGATATTGCAAACCACAGGTTTTTTTTTTTTTTTTAAATGACTTTTTACTATTTATTTGATATAAAACTAATTTATGTAATAAAAAACTTATAAACTTAAAAAAGTTAAACTAATAAAAAACAATTTTAACAGTAGTTTACCAAAAAGATTTTTTTTACCTGACAGTCATATCATCACTTCCTGTAGCAAAAACAAGTTTTTTTGGATGCACTGCTAAACCCCACAGTTCACCTTCTGCATGCCCCTGAATATATTTTATATATATATATATATATATATATATATATATATATATATATATATATATATATATATATATATATATTATATATGTATTATATATATATATATATTATATATTTATTATATATATATATTATATATTATATATATATATATATATATATATATATATATATATATATATATATATATATATATATATATATATATATATATATACACATATATCTTATACTGCTGAGGTAGGTGAGTATGATGATGTCATACTCACCTAATGTCAAATAGCCTGCTGCTGGGGGCTTCAGTACATACATCGACTGACAAATAGCCTGACTCGCCGTGGAGTGCTGCTACATCGACTGAGGGTTTGGTATGGGTCAGCAACATTTTCATTCATTATTCTTCGTTTTCCCTCATCGTTTTCTAAAAATGCTCACTTAATTTAGGCTAGCAAAAAAAGTGAGCAATTGCGCATATAAATATGCTATAGTAGATATATATATATATATATATGTATATATATATATATATGTATATATATATATATATATATATATATATATATATATATATATATATATATATATATATATACATATATATATATATATATATATATATATATATATATATATATATATATATATATATATATATATATATATTAGGGTGTTTTAAAAAAAGGTCATGCCTCCAAAAAAAAAAGAGCCCTAGCTTATCATCTGCCCAAACCATGATTTAGTACTAAAAATTTTTGAAAATCTTAAGGGTTCCTTCAGGGGGTAAAAGGGGCAATTTTTAGAGTGTTTTATACCATTTTTAAAACTGTTTGTAGGAAGTCTTGACAATTTTTGATTTTTTTTTATAATTATGGTTGTTAAGACTTACTTAATCTAAATAAAATTGGCACTACTCTGAAAAAAAAAAAAACTCAAAAAAATTGTTTCAAAAACCCTAAAATCCATAAATATTTAAAAAATAAAAATATTTTTACACTGTACATTTTTAAAATATTTTTATAAATAAATTTTTTAGTAATTAATATGTTTTCTTGAAATATATTTTATATTAAATTTTTTTAGATTATATACTTAAATAATTAATATGATGCCACCGAAAAAAAGTTAGAAGTATTAGATTGGATAAAATATTTTTAGTTAAAAAGTTAATCGAAAAACTTCCAGAAAAAAATTTGCAACTGCTAAAGAAATTATTCAATATTATCTTTTTCTACGAAAATCAAAGTGTGAAGAAAAAGTGAAGATCTTAGTTCTTAGCATGTTGTCCTAACAAAAGTTCTTTATTAATACCCAATTGTCCAGTTGATTAGTCTGACTGCTGCATACTGCCCAAACTAATGGTTCTTTGGATACTTGGTGGATCTAAAGTACTTACAATACAAAAGCTAAAGTAATATTTTCAATAAGTTTTAAATTTTAATAATCTATGTTTATTCCATAAATATGCTGTTAAATAATATTTTTACAGGATTAAAATTGAGAAACTGTTGAAGGAATGGATGAAATTAAAAGATCAAAGACACAAAACAAATCCTGCTGAAATAAAAAAAAAAAGATATTTGTTTGAAGAGAAAATGAATAAGGTATTTTGGATTGGAGAACATCCTCATGTTATGTTTGAAGAAATATTAAAAGATAAAATGAGAAAAGTGAAAGATAAAAAGGAAGATATTGCTTTCTTAAAAGACCAGCTTAGTGAAAGAAAAGGATGTCTTGGTAGAGATAAAAGATATGAGTATTCTGTAGTAAGAAATAAAAGATACACATCAAAGTTAAATAGAAATCCGTCAGCAGAATTATATAAGAATGATTTAGATTATCAAAGTTCTACTAGTTACACTAGCGACAAATTAGACGAAAAAACAGATGTTGACTTTGATTTTAATACGCATTTTAATATTCAAAATTCTGTTCTTCTTCCTAAAAATATTCTTCAACTGCTCATACAGCAGTGGGAGAAGGTATAACACCCCACCAACATACAGCATTGATTACAAGTGTTATTGTCATGGCTGGTGGTTCTGTAGCAAACTTTAATTGTTCTAAATCCCATCCTATAGAGCTGCAGAGAACATAATATCTGTCAGGGCTAAAGAAATAAAAGAATACATAAAAAATACTGTAATACCATCAGATTCACTAATGACTTTACACTTTTATTGGAAAAATTGTTAATGAATTAACTAAGGGAAAGCAATTTAAAAAAGATAGAATTGCAATTTTGGTAGGGATTGATGCAAAAACAGAACTACTTGGCATTCCTCCGATAGTTTCTACTATCCTCCGATAGTTTCTACTATCCTCCGATAGTTTCTACTATCCTCGGATAGTTTCTACTATCCTCCAATAGTTTCTACTATCCTCCAATAGTTTCTACTATCCTCCGATAGTTTCTACTATCCTCCAATAGTTTCTACTATCCTCCAATAGTTTCTACTATCCTCCGATAGTTTCTACTATCCTCCGATAGTTTTTACTATCCTCCAATAGTTTCAAGGGTTAATCAAAAGCAAGCTATTGTAAAATTGATGGAATTTTTTGGATTAAAAAACAAGGTTTAATGTCTCTGTTTTAACACAACTTCAGCAATACAGGAAAATGGCAAGGTACTTGCATGAGAATAATTCAACAAGTTCAACGTTCCTTGTTGTTGATTGCATGTAGACATCATGTAATTGAGCGACGCATAGCCCATTTTTGGACAATTTACCCAAGCAGTGAAACTTCTGGTCCAGAAAACAAACTATTTGAAGTTCTAAAACAAAACTGGAAATTAAGGAAAATGAAAAGAATAATAATATCACCAGGAACATGGATATATAACCAATAACTAGTTTCTGTTCAGTTTTGCCATAATGTGATCAGTTTAAAGATCTTCAAAAAGGTAATATTTTTATTCATTTTCTATTAAATCTTATTTTTAAAAAGTAACATTTATTACAAATTTATAATATATCGAAAACCTTTTAGGACAGAAATATAAGAAAAGAATACCATGAGCTAGCTGAACTTACTTTAATGGTTCTATCATCAAATAGGTTTAAATTTTATTTACCAGGACCAGTTTACTATTCAAGATTTATGGGAAAAGGTTTATACTACTTAAAATTGTATCTTTTAATGAATTAAATCCAAAACCTGACTGACAAACATAAAGATGAAATAACTGATATGGCTTTATATATTTGTCTTTTCTCTACAGAGTGGTTTTTAAAAGCAGAGTTAAGTTCTTTGGCACCAACACAGGTATCAGTCTTTTAGTATTTTTTTAATAAGTTAGAAAGGTCATTGTTGATTAAAGTAATTCAAAATGTTAATGGATATTGTTTATTAGGATATGAAAGCTTACTGGCAAATTAAAAGGTTTGAATGGAACCTACTTGGCTCTCAAGCTGTTGCAAGCTCTATTCTCAGACATACTTGTTATCTAGATCCCACTTTAGTAGTTTTTGCCCTAGCAGATAAAGAATGTAGGGAACGTGGAGATATGGCCGAAAAACTGTATAATTTACAAAGATGTCCAAGTGACAGTTTTCCTTTGGAGCACCAGGTAATGGACCAAGCTATATTAAATAGCCTCAACTTCACTAAATACGAGCCCCCTAGTTTGACTCCATTAATAACAAAAAAGTTGTGGCTAGTTTTTGACATGCTCAGGCATGGAAAGGCAGAAACTCAATGGATGAAGACTCCACCAGAATTTTGGAAATTCAACAATTTTTATCTAGAATTGAGAACAACAGTTAAGGGACTTGATGTTGTTAATGACTGTTCTGAGGGGGCAATTAAGTTAGTTCAAGACCTAATAATTAGAGTATATTCTGAGGGAAAAAAAAGGATACCTTTTCCTTTACTAATAGTTACAAGAAAAACAGAAACGAGAAGAATAAAATAGATTACGAAAAAGCCGCTAGTACAAACACAAATAAAGTCCATTTAAATAATGTACATTTTTTTGTTAATATCACTTTTTTAAAAAAGAATTAAAAAATTCATAACTTTACTGGGATTGCTGTATTTTAATTTAAATGAAACTTTACTATTGAGTCGAAATTTTTTTTTTTTTAATTTAATTAATTATTTTTTTTTTTTAGTATCTTATTCCCTGTCTAGGCCCTCTCGCATATATTTCCCAGAATAGTTCCTGAAGCTGATTATAAGTGAGAAATCAATATTGTACTGTATCAAAAAAAAATAAATAATGTACTTTTAAGAGTTTCAAGAAAATTTTAAGAATATTTTGTATTTTTATTAGCTTTCCGAAATATTTATGGATTTTAGGGTTTTTTGAAACAATTTTTTTGATTTTTTTTGAGTTTTTTTGTTGAGAGTAGAGCCCATTTTATTTAGGTTAAATAAATCTTAATAAACATAAACATTAAAAAAAAAATCAAAAATTTTAATGTCAAGACTTCCTATAAACAGTTTTAAAAATGGTGCAAAATGCCCTAAAAATTGCCCCTTTTACCCCCTGAAGGGACCCTTAGGATTTTTTCCACTCCACGTCTCTGTTTAAGTTGAGGTTTGTCTTTTTCTGTACTAGACATTATTTTTCACCTTAATAAATACTATTAAAAATAAATATAAATAAAATTTCAAAAACTTACAAAAAAAAAAAAATTTTAACACATGGTTTGGGCAGGTGATAAGCAAGGGCTCTTTATTTTTGTGGAGACGTGACCTTTTTTTGAAACACACACACACACACATACATATATATATACACGCACACACAAAGAAACCTAATATGTATATATATATATATTCTGTATATATATATATATATATATATATATATATATATATATATATATATATATATATATATATATATATATATATATATATATATATATATATTCACACACATAGAAACATTTTACTTTTTTTTTTAAATAGAAAAGCTGCAAAGAAAAATGAAATTTTAGTTTTATTCATTAGATTTAAGACTAAGCTAACTGAAAATATTGCTTTTTATTAAACTTAAACGATATTGAACTTTTTTTAAATTTCTATGTAAAGAGCTAATGGTTGCACTTTTGTCACAAATTAAAGTAATTGACACAATTATCCACAGTTAAATATGCATACAATATAAATTGATAGCCTTATAAACAATATGAATGAATTATCAACTTTCCAAAGATTTTTAATGATTAAACATTATCTAAAGTTAGATTTTGTTTACAAAACATTAAACAAATATTGTTATTATCATCATGAAGATAATAAATCTTGAACTAAAAAAAAAAATATTGTGGAAAGGCTTAAATCTGGAAAATCTTATTAAGAAATCTGAGTTTGGAAAGTCTCATAATCTCATAAATAAAATCAAATTGCACAATAATTTACAAGTAAATAAGGCTAAAAATGGCTGAAAGAAAATTTTCACTCAAAAAAGTCAATCAATAATTGCTTATATACTTGCTTCTGGAGAGTCTAAAACTGTAAAGGATGTTAGAAATTTAATGAATAACAACTATGGGACTCATGTTTCAGTTCAGACAGTGAATCAAGACGTCAAAAGAATTGGTTTTTAATCCAGAAAGAAGATCAAGAAGCTATTGTTGGTTTCTTGTCACCACCAAACTCAATTAAATTATGCTAATCTTTATGCAAACAACACTTTTGACTTGAATTTTTATGACTGGATTTAGACAGATAAAAGTAAAACTAATATGTTTGGATCAGGTGGTGATATACTTGGAGAAATTAACCAGAAAGCGCTAGAGATTTTACACTAATTGCTAAAGTATAGCGGAGGAACACTCTGCTTTAAGGATGCTTTTGTGCCCAGGGAGTCATTGAATTAGTGAAAATTAATTACATATTACATGTAAATTAATCACTTCAAAAATGGGGCAGAACTGTATGCAACATGTTCATGCAAAACAACATCCCCAAACATAAGGCTGATAGGACCATAAAATTCTTTCACAAGAAGAAATTGAAAGTCATTGACTGGCGAGCACAAACCCCTAATTTTAGCCCACCTTAAAATTTATGGGCAATAGTTAATGGGTATACAACTTTGGTATGGGTATACAATGTAAATACAATACAACAATGGGTATACAACTTTGTGTGTGTGTATATGTATGTATATATGTATATATATATATATATATATATATATATATATATATATATATATATATATATATATATATATATATATATATATATATTAGGGCTATTCTACACCGTTTTCGACAGCGCTGACCGTATTTGGGCGCTAATTTCAAAATTGAGGACCTTTTTTTTTGTTACGGCAAATATTGTTTTTTTCGCAAAAACACGCCTACATTCAGCAATAGTTTTGCTAAATTTTGCCGGGGTACGGCCACCCAAATTAATTTCCTAAAATGCCCCTGATATATATATATGTATATATATATATATATATATATATATATATATATATATATATATATATATATATATATATATATATATATATATATATATATATATATATATATATATATATATATATATAAATTAATTTACTATTATGCAAATCTATTATTAATTACATTATACACTGGCAGTATTGTGTTAATTTCTTTTGACAAAATTTCATTAAGTGGGTGTTAATGTCTCAAAGGTTAAGAGTTGACAGGATCTGCTGTGAAATGCAGTCCTTAAAATTATTGAATTACTAGAACCAGTCTTTAGATTTCTCATTTTTCTTAGAATTTAATGAATAATGTGACATATTTATCACATTATTCATTAACAAAAATTACTATTTTGTATAACTTTTGTTATTACTATTATTTACCTTAACCTTTTACTTCAGTTAATGTTTAGTTAAATACATTCAAATCATAGCAAAAATTTTTAGTCTGTGGTAGAAACAAAAAAATAAATTAAAATCACCACAGTAATAGTCATTGGTTTGTTTTTGTCAGCTGCTGAAACTTCCAAAACTTCTCCATTATTTGTCCCCAATAAAATTTTCTCACCTATCCAACAAACACTACGAACTGAAATCCCTAGAAAATATTTTGTTTTTATAAAGATCTTTATTATGTTACGTAAATTACAGCCATATTACATGTAAATTACATGTTATTTACAGCCACATTAAATTTACATTCACATGTAAATTATAGCCATATTACATGTAAATTAAACATAAATTACAGCCACATTACATGTTACTTACAGCCACATTAAATTTACAATCACATGTAAATTATAGCTATACTACATGTAAATTACACATAAATTACAGCCACATTACATGTAAATGTCCGGACTCATATACTATGGGTCTCGGTAAGTTTACTCCTCACAGAACATTTATACTTATTCCTTACTTCAGTGTTTATAGAAGGCGGTAGAAAAACAATTATATATATACAGCCCTTAGAATTAGGGTTGACAATGTCGACCTGATTTCTGACTGTGTCTGAGATAGGCAATTTTTTGCCGACCTCAGCATTTTAAAACTTAACTTCATTTTCTATTTCAAATAAACTGAATACGGCAAAATGAACATTTTATTAAATTCTAAATAAAATAATTAAATTGAAAGAAGAATAAAATTTTATTAAAATTCTTAATTAACTAAATAAAATAAAAAAAGTAAAACAAACTTTTTAATTTTTTTTTATTTTTTTTATTTGCATTCACTCCCAAGAAGGCTGGAAGCAACCACTATTAAGTTGGGAGTTAACCACTATTAAGTTGGGAGAAAAAAAGAACAGAGTTATAGAGCAAGGAAACGGTTGACAGAAGACTTGAAAAGTTGAAGGTTGTATGAGTCAGGAAAACATGAAGATGGAAGAGAGTTCCATAGGATTGAAGTGCGGGGAAAAAAACTAGATGAATAAAAGTTTTTAGAGCATGCAGGGACAGATACAGTAAACGAATGAGACTTAGCTGAGTGACGAGTAAAACAAGAATGAATTTTAGTTGATGGAACTAGAGATGATAACTCCTTTGAACAGTGACCATGATAGTATTTGTAGAAAAGAGAAAGAGATGCAACTTTACGACGATAGAGGCTCAAGCTTAGCAGATAGTCCAGGTCCAACAACATTTACAATGCGTTTTTGGACCTTGTCAAGAAGAGAAAGTGAATCGTTAGAAGAACCAGCCCAAATATGACAACAGTATTCCATACAGGGACGAATAAGAGATTTGTAGAGGTAGAGAATGGAATCAGAAGTAAGGAAATGGCGAGCACGATAAAGAGAAGCAACCTTAGCGGATGCTAATTTAGCAATCGATTGTATATATGGTTTCCATGAAAGGTCAGTAGTAAGCGATAATCCAAGAAGACGTAAAGAGGAGGACTCAGTAAGAGGATTGCCATTCATTAATATAGGAATGTTGACCATATTACGGTAGTTGTTTGCAGTAAACAACTGGGTTTTGTTAGAGTTGAAATTCACAAGCCACTGTGAACCCCAATCTATTACTGAAGTGAGATCGGATTCAAGATTAGCTGCTTGTTCTAGGCGATCTAAAAGAGAAGACTTTTTGTCAAGACAGGAGTATAAAGTTGAGTCATCAGCAAAAAGAGCTACTTTAGATGAAAGGTTGTCAGGAAGATTGTTTATGTAGATAAGAAACAAAACAGGGCCCAGGATGGAACCTTGGGGAACCCCAGAAGTTACTGGAAATAAAGAAGAGTGTTGGCCTTCAAGGATGACTTTTATAAACCGGTTAGAAAGAAATGATTTGATAATCTCAAAAACTTTCCCATAAACACCATATGAAGCAAGCTTATGGAGAAGACCAGCATGCCAAACTTTGTCGAAAGCTTTAGATATGTCGAGAGCAATAGCCCTAGCCCCACCGCCTCCATCTAATGCACGATAAAATCTTTCAGTTACAGCAGTTAGCAAGTATTGATTGTCTGACAGTAGTTTATTTGACTCAAGATGAGATGTGAGGAATTTGTTGATCAAAGACTCAAAGACCTTGCTAATAACACGAAGAAGACTGATCGGACGATAATTGGAGGGGTCAGAATTTTCTCCAGAGTTTTTGAATATTGGAACCACAGATGCCATTTTCCAACAAGCAGGAAAACAAGACTCAGTCAAACACTTGTTAAATAGTTTAGAGAGAATTGAAGAAAGTTCTGGAGAACAATTCTGCAAGACTGTGACAGGAATGTTGTCTGGACCACAAGCTGTAGACGAGTTTAATTGAGATATGACTTTAGCAACAGAAGCCGGAGTGATTTGAATGTCTAACAATGGGTCAACCTGTTTGACTGGAATGGAAGGAAGAGAATGTCCATAAGATTCAAGAGTGGAACTAGAAGAAAAGTTCTTTGCAAATAGTTCTGCCTTATCCTTGGGAGAGGTAATAAGATCAATCCCATGAATGAGAGATGGAATGTTAGATCTACCCTTGTTAATAATGCTGTTGAATGTTCTGTTATGTTTCTGTTATGTTCTGAACAAAGTAAAAAAAACTTAGCAGCAAAAAAAAAAGCTTTATTTAAATTGTAAATAAAATGATAAAAATTAAAGCGGAATATAGAACATTTGATTTAAATTCCAAAAAAAATAATTTCAAAAAATCTGGCAAAACAAACTTTTATTTAAATTCCAAAAAAAATAATTATAATAAAAATGGCAAAAGAAACATTTTATTTAAATTCTAAATAAAACATTTTTTAAATAATTAAAATAAAAACAAAAAAACGAACATTTTAACTAACTTCTAAATAAAATATTACAAAAACCAATAACAAAGCGAATGTTTCAATTAAATTTTAAATATGAAATTTATTCAAATAGCAAACAAGACAAAACAAAAACAGAAAAAAGAATGTTTTATTATAAATCTAAATAAAATAATAAAAATAAAAATGAATACACATCTGTTTTGATTAACTTCTAAATAAAATTTTACAAAAAACAGAAAAGCTAACTTTAACTATTTTATTAAGGATTTATTCAAGTCCTTAATAAAATAATTAAACTAAAAACAACAAAAAGTTTTAATTAAATTCTAAATGTAAACTTTTTATTTAAACAGTAAACAAATAAAAGCAAAAACACTAAAGTTTCATTAATTCTAAATAAAATAATTATAATAAAAATTTTTGCTGACCTAAAACAGTTTTGGATCAGCAAATTTTTGCCGACTTTATTTTTCCTAATTCCGAGGGCTGTTATATTAAGAAAAACTATACATATTGTCTACCTTTTAAAGTTACAAAGAAAAAAATAATTAAGGATATATTTAAATTTTTAACACTTTAAACACTTTGGTAGCCGTTTCACGAACTGCTATTTATTAGCAGTTTGGATATTAGTACCAGTCAGTCTAAATAATTTTTAGAATACCAACATGAAATGTGTTGACTAATTACAATCGGCCTAAAAATTTTGAAGAAAACAAAAGTTAAGTTGAATGTAAAATCTTTTTTCCTATAAGAAAAAAAGTTTCCTTTTTCATGTGTGTTAAACGCCAGGGTTGGAAAAAACCCAAGGTTCTTTTAAAAAAATGGGTTCTTTTTATGGATTTTATAAGTTTTTTTGGGTTATTTTTAAAAACTGATCAAAATTCCAAATTTTTATTATGGTATTTGTACTGTAATTTTTTTTTTAATTTTATATATTCACCTCCCATTGCTCTAGTGTCCACTACAGTAAACGGGAAAACTCATTTTTTTAAAATATTCTCTCTCAATCAAATAGAAATTATAATTACCAAATGTAATTTTAATAAAAACACAAACATTTTTAAACTAGGGCGCTGAAACAGGGAAACAGATTGAGCATAGTAACGTCAGAGAGCACAGGGTAGATTTGAATCTTTTGATTGTGAGCCAAATGTTTAACCACTAGTCTACTACTACATTAGATCTATGATGCACAACTCCTTTAACAAATGATGTTAATTAATTGTATTAAGTTAAAAATATATTCAGAATATTTTTAACTAAGAAAAATTAAAACAAAAATTATTAGGGCAACTGAGTTATTCAAAGTTGGTAAGACAATATAAATGTTTCAAACTTTTTTTAACATGTTCAACATGTTACTTCAAAAACTAATTTACACAAGTTTACAACATGTCTATAAGTTTGCAACATGATGTTGCAACTTTGTAAATTATAATCAATCATGGGATGACTGTGAACACTTTTTAAACATTTTTGCGTTATAGAAGAAAACTTTTAGCCTAATCGTTAGCTTTTTTTTAACAAAAAATTATATTATCCAGCTTCCTGGAAGTTTATATTAAAAGTTCTAAGCCTGATCAACACTATGCAGTAAATATCTTAATTTTTTTATTTTATATGATCATAATCACATTTTTAAAATTGGGCAAGAATGATTAGCCGATTTGACATTGAAAATAACTATATTTTTTTATTTTTTAGATTATGGATAGATTAGTTTTCCAGGTAACTTTGTGCCTAAGCCTAGATTGTTCTTAAGAATATCTAAAACCTATTCATTAAGAACCATTATGGTGTCTATACTACCAGGTTCTCTATTTTTTCTTAGAAGACATAGATGTAATGTTACATGTTTTAGCAGCCTTCCTTACAGTAAATCCATGGTTTTTCACTTTATTTACAGCTGTTTCTAGGTCTGCTTGAGTGTAACTTGATAAAAAAAAGGTCATTTTAAATAAGCAAGTAATTAGATACAGACAAGCCACACCCTAAATTTTGATTTTATTAGAACAATATGTAACTGATGTGTATCTGATGTGTACTTTATGTGTAGCGACTTGGTGTTTTATTACGAGTTTCTTCAGTAGCTTAATAAGTCACTTATCTGTCTAAACTCTTCTCAGCATAGTTTAGAAGAGATCCAAACGATTTGCATTTCTTAAAAATAAAAATTTATGTTTTTAAACTTCAATTTTTTGTGCTTTATATATTTCTAAAAAGTAGAATTTAAGCTTTTCTTATACAATTTATCATTTTTTATTTTTTTTTCAAGTATCAAACAAAACAGAACTACCACTAAAATACAAACGCATTAGGACAGTTTAAACAAATGTGTTAAGTATTTACATTCCAAAAATGTCTCTTTTATTCAAAAGCAAAAAGTCTTCTTGTTTACGGCTTTAAAATATTCAATAAATGGCTAAAAACCTCATATTTTATTTTTCCGCTAACAGTAAAAATGTTAAAATCAAAGTTTTTACAATAGTTTTCACTCAGCAATTTACTTCCATAATCTCTTTAAAGTCGTTTGAATAAATAAGGGCCTAAACTTGATAATTTTCTTCGGATCTCTCCTTAACCTCATTGAGTTGCTTCTATTTATTATATTTAAAACAACTGAATCAAAATAGCTCTACTGTGTGTGTTTCTTCACCTTTTAGTAAACTTGGTTTTGATGTTCATTTTCACCCCACTGTTCATAGTCACCCAAGTTGACTGGGACATGTTTTAAACTTGCAGGAGATATAAAAACTTTAAATCTATAGACAGCTGAGCATGAGTTTCATTTTTATTAACAAATCCTGTTCTTGTGAATGCATACAAGTTTCCAACATATTTTCTTATCAAATAAGAGAACATGTTGCAAACATGCATACACTTAACATATGTATTCTATGTTTTAAGGCTGCATGCACTTCACAAGGACAAGTTCAGTCTAGTAAACTGTAGCATAATATTTTTTACCTGACAACTTTCCACTTCTAGACTGCGAATAAAGTGTAACAATTTTTATAGTGTCCTGCTGGTGACCTTGTACTAACTTTTTCAGTTTATAACTTTACAAAATAAAGATCAAATACTAATATAAAAATGACAGATCTAAAACTTTTGTTTAGACATATAGGCATTTGAGAGGTGAGAAAAGATATAAAATAACTAGTAATCTCTTGTACATTAAAATTTAGTAAATAAAATGATTTCATTTTTCTTTATAAAAATTCAACTAATTTGCCTCAGTATTTTCATACATAATACAATAATATTTTTTAATATTTAACTTGCTAATGATTTAAAAATTAATAAATAACCAACTTGCTAAAAAGATGATTGATCATTTTTTTGGATTATTCTGTAAGGAGTTCAAACTAAAAATTATATTCTAAATACCATTTTATATATAAAAAGTGTATAAAGTATTTACAATGTAAAACTTGCAAATTTTCTTTTTATTCTGATTCACACCCAACAAGACTGCAAGCAACCACTAAGGGGTCGTCCATAAAGAACATATGTTTTTTTTCTCTAACACCCCCCACCACCACCCCACCCTGCATTTTGCCATATGCTTTTTTGAATACCCTCTACCTCCCTAAAAGTACATACACTTTTAACTTACCAACCCAACATTTTATGATATTTTTTTAAATTTAGTGTCTTCATACTTTTATAACTAGCCTACTACCCCCTTATCTCAGAAACTCCATTTGCAGACCCCCTTTTTCTCTCTGAGCATACGTACTTTATGGACAATCCTTAATACGTTGGGAGTTTTTTTTTTTTTTTTTTTTTAATTATTTTCGCTTCCAACAAGGTTGCAAGCAACCACTTATTAGTGTTGGAAGTTACTGGAAGAGAAAAGATGAAGATTGTAGAGCAAGATAACGATTGATAGACGACTTAAAATATTGCAAATTATATGAATCAGGAAAGCAAGATGAAGGAAGCGAATTCCAAAGTACTGACGTTCGAGGAAAAAAACTAGATGAATAAGAGTTTTTGGAGCACTTAGGAACAGTAACAGAAAAAGGATGAGACTTAATTGAATGACGAGTAACACGAGAATGAATTTTAGTAGATGGCACAAGAGACGCTAGCTCTTTAGAGCAGTGCCCATTATAGTATTTGTAGAAAAGAGAAAGAGAAGCAACATTACGACGATGTGACAGAGGTTGAAGGTTGGCTGCAAAAGCAGGTCCAACTATGTTTACAATGCGTTTTTGCACCTTGTCTAAAAGAGAAAGGGCATCATTAGAAGATCCGCCCCAGATATGGCAACAGTATTCCATACAAGGCCGGATTTGAGATTTATAGAGATAGAGAATAGAATCCAGAGTAAGAAAGTGACGAGCTCGATAAAGAGAAGCAACTTTAGCAGATGCTAATTTTGCAACGGATTTGATATAAGGTTTCCAAGAAAGATCAGAAGTAAGAGTTAATCCTAGAAGATGAAGGGTAGGAGACTCATCGAGTACATTACCGTTCATAAATATAGGAAGGTCTAAATTATTGCGATAACGATTGGCCAAAAAAAATTGAGTTTTATCTGAATTAAAGTTCACCAGCCACTGCTAGCCCCATGCTGTAGCAGAAGTGAGATGCTTTTCGAGCTCAGATGCCCCCTGCAAGCAATCAGAGGGAGTTGGCTTCTTATCGTGACAAGAATAAATGGTAGTATCATCAGCGAACAATGCCACCTTAGATGTGAGAATATCTGGAAGATCGTTAATGTAAATTAAAAAGAGTATAGGGAGTTACTAGAAAAAAAGAATAGAGTTATAGAGCAAGGAAACAGCTGACAGAAGACTTGAAAAGTTGAAGGTTGTATGAGTCAGGAAAACATAAAGATGGGAGGGGGTTCCAAAGTGTTGAAGTGCAGGGGAAAAAACTAAACAAAAAAAATTTTTTAGAGCAGTTACAGAAGTGAGATCAGATTAAAGATCAGGTACCTGTTCAAACCTAAAAAAGACGACTTATTGTCAAGACAAGAGTATAAAGTTGAGTCATCAGCAAAAAGAGCTACTTTAGATGTAAGGTTGTCAGATCATTAACGTAGATAAAAAACAAAACAGGACCAAGGATAGAACCTTGAGGTACCCTAGAAGTTACTGGAAATAAAGAAGAGTGTTGACCTTCAAGGGTAAATTTAAAAAGCGGCTAGAAAGAAACAATTTGATGATCTCAAAAACTTTCACAAATACCCCCATATAAAACAAGCTTATGGAGAAGACCAGCATACCAAATTTTGTCAAAATTTTAAATATGTCAAGAGTAATAGCCCTAGCCTCTCCACCTCCATCTAATGCACAATTAAATCTTTCAGTCACAGCAGTTAGGAAGTCAGCCATAGAGCGAGAGGATCGAAAACTGTATTGATTGTCTGGCAGAAGGTTATTTGACTCAAGATGGGATGTGAAACATATGTGAAACTAATAAACTAAACAGAAAGAAGACTGATTGGACGATAATTGGAGGGGTCAGAATGTTCACTTGAGTTTTTGAAAATTGAAATAAAAGATGACATTTTTCAGTAGGCAGGAAAATAAGAGTCAATCAAACACTTATTAAATAGTTTAGAGAGTATTGAAGAGAGTTCTGCAAAACAATTTTATAAGACTATGACAGGTGTGATCCTGACCACAAGCCATATTTAATCAAGATATGACTTTAGCAATGGAAGCTGGAGTGATTTGAATGTCTAACAATGGATTAACCTGGTTAATTGGAGTGAAAAGAAGAGAATGGCTATAAGATTCGAGAGTCGAATTAAAAAAAAAGTTCTTTGCAAATAGTTCTGCCTTATCCTTGGAAGAGGTAATAAGATCAGCCCAATAAATAAGAGATAGAATGTTACACCTACCCTTGTTAATGATGCTCTTGAAGATTTTCTTTAGATTAGTGTTAGGCTTTTAGAGCCTAACTTCTGAGATAAGATACAAGATTTAGTAAACTGAGAATAATGGAGCTTAGTGTCTGACAGCATCTTTTTACAGTGATTTCTTGCAATAATAAATTGCTGTTTGTTCTCAAGAGAGTTGTTTTTTGAAAAATATGAAAAATATGGTTGCGATTAGATATAGCAGCTGCACAAGAGGGTGAAAATTTGTTAACAATAAAGCATTTATAGAAGCTAAAGTCCAACTTATTAGTTGTAAAATAAGATATTTAAAAAAAACCCATAATATATTTAGGTTCTTTTGTGTTTGGTTTTATTTGCCAACCCTGAAATGCACAAACTTAACTAACAACCAAAGCACATTAATAACATATCTTTATCATGACTTATGCACAACAAATTTTTCCTGTTTTAAAGTTTTAATTTTAAAATTTTTTAATGTTTTTAGAAATTTTAAGCTTTTTTAAAAATTCTCTCCCATTCATTTTTTATAGTATGTAATGTTTTTATTTATGTTATGTATATAGTATCTATAGAACTTTAAAAATATTTTATTTTGTCTTTTAGAAAATTTGAAACGATTTTAAAAAAATAATTAAATGTGCAAGCAAAAGGATTTAAACCTCTGTGATGTGCATTGGAAGCACAGCAAGCTAACAACATTGTCCACTCAGGCATACTATACTTCAAGTTTTTAACATTATTTATTAAGCAAAAAACTATAACTTTATAAAACAGCAAATAAACGCTATAAATTAAATGCAAATAAATTCAAAGAGAAATTGCAGCAATGCAATTTTAATTAAAACAGTAAAACTTAATATAATTTTTAACATTACATAACTTAACGTTTAAATAAGGTATATACACTTTCATTTACATTTCTTGTAAAAATAAAAAGTATTGCAACTCTTTCTAATTACTAACTCAGTGTAATGGCTACCATAAGTTCTGTGTCAAACATGCACAAATGAGTAACAGTGGCATTCAATTCAATATTAATACATATGTAAATTACAGATACATTACATGGAATTACACATAAATTACAGCTATATTACATGTAACACACACAACACTTTTGGGTCACACAACTTTTAAAAAAGTAAAAATGAAGAGCAAAAAGTAGGATTAAAAAATGAAGAGCTAAAATAAGGATAATGAAGAAAAGATTCAAGTTTAAAATTAACCATGGAGGTAAACAAATATGCATTTTAAATTAAGAGTCTGAACACCTTTGTATAACATTTTAAGTATTATAGTTAAAGCGTATATACTTAAATTGTTATTTTATGAGTATATCTGAATGGTATTTAACTATTGTTAAAAATAATAAAAAAGGTACCTCTGTAACCAAGAGCATGCTGGTTCAGATCAATTCGAGTGATTGGTTTGAACTCTATATCCCACAATCCAATTGTACCATCTTTAGACCCACTAGCAAATCCATCTGCAGAGGTATACAACGTCAAAACTGCCCCCTTGAAATAATTAGAAATTAAATATTCATAATAAAGAATATATTTCAAAACTTTTTTTTTTTTTTTAAAGTTTCTAAACAAGTTTTTTTTAAAAAAAAGAAGTTTATAAACTTGTTTTTCTTCTGGATTTAAAAATAATTATTTATATAAGTAACTTTAAAACTAGAGTTTTTTGTTTTACAACTAACTTGGTTTGGAAGCAAATAACTTGAATAAGAACTTTTTCTGCTTTACAACTAACTTATTTTAAAAGCAAATAGCTTGAACTTTTTCTTTTTACAGCTAACTTACAGAAGCAAATAGCTTGAATAGTGAATTTTTTCTTTTTTACAGCTAACTTAGTTTGGAAGCAAATAGCTTGAATAGTGAACCTTTAACTTTAAATAATTGTGTTAAAAAAACTTTAAGCAAAAGAATTACATGTAATCTGAAAACAAAGTTTTTTTCAAACTTTTGAAATAATGAAATGCATATTTGCAAATGCAAATAATGACTCAAATTTTTATTAGATTTTTTCACTTTTTTTCACAAAAAAATATTCCTTTTTTTGTGGATAAACTTTATAAAGCAAATTTGAATTACTAATTGCTTTAATTTTGGGATTTTCTTTGTGCGTTAAGATTTTTATCTTTTTATAGGATTTATAACCTTGTGATTTCTTAATTCTTTCAACCATAATTTTACTTGGGTTTTCTTTTTGAGCTAAATTTTGCAGTGAAAGTTTTAGATATTGCATGAGTGTCTCAACTTCTAAACAAAATTTTTAGATTTTTTTGATATAAACTCTTTTTTTCAACCATTCGTTACCACACATATTGATACGATGTTGAACAGTGAAATTCTTGATTTTGCATTTAAAAAATGTAAGATACTTTCTCAACACATTTCTTATTTTGAGCACATTTTGATAAGTACTCAAACTTGTCCGATCTAATGCAAAATCATATTAAGATGCAAAATCAAATTTTAACAAAACAGAATATTTTGAAATATTTAAACAAAAAAACTGTTGTATTCTTCAAAATACAATATTAGTCAACACACATGAATTTTTCAGGGACATGTTTTATTGTTAGAAGATATTGTAAACTCGTATCCATTAATTTAGGCTTCAAAATTTTTCAAAATTATTGCATGTTTTGAAAACATGCAATAATTTTGAAAATGCAAACATTTGAAAATGTAATTTGTATAACCAACATAATTGAAAATTGTTAAAAAATTAAAACATCACAACCAAAATTAGATTGCTATGACTATTTCTTTTGATGGTTCAATTGTTAAACAACTTGCCATTAAATGAGTTGATTTTAACAATAAAGATATTTAACTACATATACAGTTATGAACGGAGGGGTGGGGGAAAGGGCTCTTAATAGGCTTGAGATCGGTGGAGAAAACTTTCATAAATTGATAAACATATCTCAAGCGTATTAATCATCCAAGAGTTCTTATTAATAAATAAAAAATTTAAAAAACAGTAAAAAAGCTGTTAACAGCTATTTTTCAAAAAATACTGTTTTTCAGAAACTCTACTGTTTATGATATGATTCAGCACATCAAGTCAACAAATGGCATCAATTCAGGAAAATCCTGTTAAAGAACAAGAATTATCACTGTAAACAACTTGACAACTTTATACACCATTTGTATGCAAAGATTTTTAAGTGTTTATGTTGGACAAAGCACTAGTTGGGTAGTTTGCAAGCCACAAAACTTGCATTTCAAACACCTTTTACAACCAGATCAATTCTGCAAATACTTTAAAAAAATTTTAAAAACAGTGTGCCTAATTATTTTTGAAAAAGAAAATTAGATATTTTTTATGGACATCAAGGCAAAATCTGATTAACATCATTAAAAATCTGGCAGATCACAACTTTTGATCTGTCAAAAATTGTCAAAACTCCAAGATAATACTCTTTAAAACCCATCAAAAGAGTAAAATTGAAACCAAAAGTTTCTAAACAGAACCTAACCTCACTAACAGGTCTGAGAAAGCCATAATGAAAGTGTAGTGTCATAAAATAATACAAGAATCTTGTGAGTCGTCTCAATGCTGCAAGGAATAGGTTGAAGAGTCCATACAAAGGGTTAAATCATTTTTTTACTGCAACTTCTTTATTCTTTTATGTTCATGTGTGCTGTTATGAATTAAAAAGTTTTCTAGAAATAAACTCCTACACTAGTACAAAATGGTTACTATAAACATTTTTTACAAAAATAGTTACTATAAATATTCGAATATTTATAGTAACTATTTTTGTAGTGTACGGATTTATTTCAGATCTTTTCGGCCATAACTATAATAAAATGTATTATTTAAATTAAAAATATATATATTAAAAATGTACCGAATGTGCAGAAACAATATTTTCTATCAAAATGTTATCTTTCCACTTATAAATATCTCCACTTAATGTTCCACTGTACATAAAGCCACCAGTTCCAAAACAAATACATAGTATACTTTGCAGATCACCTTTATCACCAAACACACCTACAATAAACATTTGACTTATATTGAATATTCATTAAGTATCACAATTAGTAAAAAAATTTATCATATTTTATCAAATAAATAAACTAAAAGTTTTTTAATTTGACACTGATTAATTGATCAATAAATTCAGATATAATAATAAAATAATAAAATAAAGAAAACAAAAAGAGCTTAAAGAGATAAAAAAAAAGTAAAAAGTCAATTAAAAACTCTAACTTAACTGCAACTTAACTCTTCTACACCTAAAATTACCCAGTAGGCACAAAACACAGTACCACAGTAGGCACAAAACATGTTTAAGAGGTCTAAAACATGTATTAAAATGTATTAATACACATTTCAGACATTTAAAACTATTAGTCACATCTTGTGCCCACTGGGTAATATTTGTAAATTGTGAAAATCAATCTACTATACTGAAAATGATAGAATAGTAATGGATGGCATACTTACACCGCAACATTATACATTTTTAGAAAGATAAATAAATATACACCATTTATCTTATTTATTTAAAAAAAATTTATATATTAATGATAGCTGACACAGATATCACATGAATTTCAAAAAAGAAATTTTTTTACGAATAATCATGAAATCTGACTTTGTGGAATTCCAAAATTATTTGCTAATCAAAAGTTAAAACAGAAGTGCATTCTGCAAGAAAAATATATACAAATAACAAAAATAGTTCAAATACCTGAAAACCCTCAAGATATAAAAAATTATTAACAATTTAGACAGGACAAAATTTTTAAGAATTTTGCCATAAAACTAAACTAAATATAAAACTGAAAAGTCAACATAACATTTAGATATCACTTTTGGTGTTGGAAAGTTTCAAAACAATTTTTGTAAAATCACAAAACGTATTTCACAAAAATTAGAAGTTTTTGTGTTAATTTATTTCTCAAAATTGCTTTTCTGCTAACCACACAAACAACATTTCTGTTGCTAAAGTTATCCTTCAAAATATAAAAGTTATCCTTCAAAACATAAAAGTTATCCTTCAAAACATAAAAGTTATCCTTCAAAACATAAAAGTTATCCTTCAAAACATAAAAGTTATCCTTCAAAACATAAAAGTTATCCTTCAAAACATAAAATCAAAAGTTTTGATTAATAGTTTTGCTTATCAAATCCCTTATTTATTACCACAGGGCCATTAATAACTCATTTTCAAAGAGTTTAAGTACTCCAATGGTTAAATATTGCTAACTTTATATATTTGTTTTGGCGACATATTTAAATCAACTTACTTACTAATTGCAATTTCCTGGTAACAAAACATTAATATGGTATAATATTAATAGGACTTATTAAAAGAAGGATAAATATTAATTAGCAGTATCTATTACTTTTCCATATTTTTAAACTTTATCTTTAAAAAATTAATCCATTGTCTCTTTCCAAATGATGTCTAAGACAAGATAATTGTGCTTCTCTTAATCATTTTCATAACTTTATTTAAATTATTTCTATGTATATAAACAATCATCACTCATCATATAAGCAATTATAAATTGTTGATATAAATAAACAGTTATAATTTATCATTAAAAACTTGTAGACTGTTTAGATAAATAATCAATTATAATTTGCTAACTGCCAAAGAATATACTTTTACAGTTTAAAAAAAATACAGTTTTATAAAATAAAATACTTTGCTGAATTTTTAAATTAAAACAATAAATATGTATTTAGGTTATATGTTATATAGTTAAGCTCTTGCCATAAGCTGTATCTTTTTATGATTAAAAAAAAAGAAGAAGTTACCATAGCAACATAATTGTCTTAAGTAAATATTATTTATTTTACTCAATTATTATTATTTTACTTGTTTCTCTGCACAGCAGCCTTGCTCGTCAAGGTTTGTTTTTCGGAGTTATAGAGTTGAGAGAGGGTTATAATCACATTTAAGTAGCCTTCTCATATGTAGTGGCTGTCTCGGCCTTGGGGAGGTGAATTAAAAGAACAACAACAACAACAAAAAAAAATAGAATTAGTGCATATTGTAAACAAATAATAAAACAGGGTTACTCAAAAATTTGAGCAATTGGGTATAGTAACTAATTTGCATGGAGTATTTTCAACATTTAATGAATAATCATAACTTATCTTCAAATGTTACCTTTAATAGGTATAACAGAATTTCCGCTTAATGTCCAAAAATTTAAATGTTTTACACCACTTGTAACCAATTTTTTGTCTTCATATGGGTTAAAGCAGACATCAAAAATCTAAAACAAAAATAAAAAAGTTAAAAATACTAAACTATTTAAAACCCATAAAAATAAATAAGACAAAAACTTTAAAAATGGATGGTAAAACTTTATAATTGGAAAACTTTATAATTGGATAATAAAACTTTATAAATGGATAATAAAACTGTAAAAATAAATAATAAAACTTTATAAATCAGTAATAAAACTTTATAAATAGATAATAAAACATAAATGGATAACAAAACTTTGTAAACAGATAATAAAACATTATAAATGGATAATAAAATGTTATAAATGAATAATAAAACATAAATGGACTATAAAACTGTGTAATACTCAAATTTAATCCAATATTTTCAATTATACTTTTTTTCTATTTTTATACTTTCCAACTATGTTTTTATTTTATAAAGTTTTGTTGTAGTTTCAAATAATTTTGAAAAAAAAAAAAAAAATTAAAAAAAACTAAAACAATGGAATCAAAATTAAAAATCAAGAAAAAAAATTAATTATTTAAATTATAATAGCAATTAATCTGTGTATTCAATAATTGATAAAATTATTATTAAATTTTCATTAACCAGAGCATACTTTAAAGAAAATTTTTTCTTGTGAAAACATGAGCTGCATAGAAAAGTTTGTATTTTGTGTGTTCAAAATATTCTTAACATTATTAATTTTATTTACTTTATATTCTTAAAATCATTTACTTTAATAACCTAATAATTTATACCCTTTCATTATGTGCCTTTGTTGTTGATATAACTTTGCCTTTTTTCCAATCCCATATTGTTAATTGAGAATATTCTTCTAGACCAACAGAAGCTAATTGCTAAAAAGAACCAATTAATATTTAAAATAAATAAATATTTAAAAAAAATTGATTAAAAAGTTATCAAGAACATACATTTTGTGTAACTTTGTTTTAACAAAAATTAAATAAATTAGAGAAAACAAATCAGGAAAGAATTTAGAGAAAATAAACTAGAGAAATGCTTAAAATCAATTTTACTTTATGAGCTATTAACTTACAGTTCCAGCTGTGTTGAAAGCCAAACATGCAATACCATTCTGATGGTTATCTTTCAATATGGATATTGTGCAACAACTCGAAACATCCCATATACATATATAAGGTTCTTTACCAACCTGCCCTGTTGCTACAGACTTTCCATCAGGATGCAATGCTAAGCTAAAAAAATTCAAAACAATGTTAAGGTATTACAAACCAATTTATCAATCAAACAATGCTATCAATCATCCACCAAACGATGTTATCAATGTTATCCTAAATACTATCCATAAAATTAAATTTGTTAAATCTACCTTACTATGTCATCATTGTGTCCTAAAAAAAACCTCTGCTTTTTTAATTTTGGATCAAAAACAATTCCTACTCCTGCCACAAAGTAAATAATTTCACCACTGTTAGTGTAGTATAAATTATTTCGACATTGATGTCCACGATAACCATAAACATATTCTAAACGAAGTTTTACTGGAGGTGGGGTTTTATCAACCATTTTTTATATACTAAGAATTTTATTCATTACTAAACAAAATAAAAAAATAAAATAGAAACTTTTGAAGCTTTTAAAAATAATAAAGCATAAACAAATAATTCTGATTATTCATTCATAAGATTCGTGTTGTTAAGAAAGATCCTTGAACAATATCAAAACAAAACATATCTTGTGTTTTTACAAGTGAATTTAAGTGTATTTTACAAAATAAAGTACACAAAAAACAGTTCAAATAACACTCATTTAATCATTTTCTTAACATCTGAGTACCTTTGTATCTGAGGATCTTTTAATCTGAAAACAGATTATCAATGTTTTGGCAGATCAACAAATATTTTGTTATGGTTCTGCCATTACAAAATCTATCATCCAAGACCTAGTCCTGAAATATTTCTTTAAAAAAGTGTTGCATTTAAAGTCTGTTAAATTGTTCATCTAAAGTGTCTTTTTTCATAAACATGCCTATGCCACAAAAAAATATAATATTTTAACTTTAATTTTGAAATATAATCCACATTACATTAAAAGAACTTAAATATTGTTATCTTTTGCATACAACAACCTTTCTTATTTTTCTTTTTTCAAAAAGTTTAAAAAAAAAAAAACACATTTTTGTCAGTAAAAATATTTATAAATATGTTTTTACAACAACAATAATAGTAATAATAATAATGATAATAATAATAACAATTTATTTTGAAAAAATTATGCAAAGTTTTTTTTGTGTTATAAATTTCAAAACAATGTGCAGCCCAATATTATATTTTTTAAACATAAAATAAATAATATAGAATAAGTATTACGCATATAACAAATATACAATAAATAATATAGAATAAGTATTACACGTATAACGAAAATACAACAAATAATATAGAATAAGTATTACGCCTATAACAAAAATACAATAAATGATATAGATTAAGTATTATGCATATAACGAAAATACAATAAATAATATAGAACAAGTATAACACGTAACGAAAATACAAAAAAGAATATAGAATAAGTATTACACATATAACAAAAATACAACAAATAATATAGAATAAAGTGTTACACATATGGTGTATAAGTAGTACACATATAACGAAAATAAAATAAAAAATTATTACAAATATAGAACTAAAATATAGAACATACAAAGCAAAATATAGAATAAATAATATAGAAATATTACACATATTGCAAACTAAAATAGTTTAGAATAAGTATTACACATATAAAAAAAATATAACGAAACAATTTTTTTTTCCTTACTTTCATATTGATATTTTCAATTCTCAAATATATTGAAGTGTAAATTACAGAAGCATAAAATACAACACAGCACAAATTATTTTAAGTGTAGACAGTTACACTGGTTGTTAACCAGTTAAACCTGGTTAGCTTACTCTGATTAATTTGAGCATTAAAGGGTTAAAAACTAAATAGCATAACTATCTCTAATTTTTTGCATAAGATATTCTATATGAAGCTTATACAAAACTTATTTTTAACACCATTTTTTTAAATATTATGTCCTCTACTTCATCATCACAATAAAATTTTCTCAATGTTGTATGGAATCAACAGGTTGTATAAATTTTTATCCTATATAAAATCTATTTATATACTCTTTTAAATAAAACTTATTTTTAATTGTTATTACCGTTTTTAAATGAGTTTCACTATTTTCATATTTTTCTCTTTTAAGAATCCTTATGATGTTCAAAAAGTTTGTTATAAATACTGTCATTTAAAAAGTTTACAAACTAAAAGAAAATAAAATTACAAATAAATGGTAATTTATTGCCAATATAAATAATTAAAAATTAAAAGTTTACTATAAGTTACTTTACACATAAATGTGAAAAATTAGTAAAATCCTAAATTAGACTGATTGAAAATTGTTAAGTGATATTGTCACTGATAAAATGGCTTTTGCTAAAGAATTAAATATTTCCATTCTGTAGAATTTAAAGATCTAAACATAAATATTGGTATTTATCAGATATGTTATTAGAAGCTGTCAAGATAACATAAAATATTATAGAGAGAAGATATATGAAAATCTATTGGAATTTATTTGGTTCTAATCTTCTTGTTCTAAAAAATCAATAGGAATTGATTTGGTTCCAATCCTTTTGTTCTAAAGAATACTGTTCAATAATTTACTTATTAAAAAAATCTACAGAAGATGGTAACCTACTTGATATTTAGAAAAGTGCAACTATAACACTTCTGTTAAAAAAAACTAGTTGAAATCAACAAGCTACATACCTGTACTTCTAACATTGATACCATGTAAAACATTAAAAGAATTATTGCTAGTGCTCGAAGTGAGGCGGGATGCGGCAAGATGCCATCCCGCCACTTTTTTATAAATCTCTATATATAACAATGATTAGGCAGGATGGTATTTTTAATTTATTTAATACCTGTTTCTTTTTTTTCTCCACTTCGAGCACTGATTATTGCTAATAGCATGATAAAGCATTTAATAAATAAGATATTAGTAAAAAAATAGCTTCATTTTTGGACAAGCAATGAATACTGCCAGTTAAGCAAATAGTATGCTTGCAATATTAAATAACGCTTTTGAGTATAAAGATAAATATCTCATGAAGTTGATATTTATCTTTATACTCAAAAGAAAAATCATGCCTAACATAGAAAAAATTCAAAAAAGAACTAATAAAATGATCTCAAATAAAATGACATCAGAGGTATGAATGATAAGGATGGGATGAATGTGGAATATCCATCTAAAACTAAGATGGATATGGAATAGCAACCCTCTCACAGAGTCCTTTCTGTCTTCTTGGATTATTATTTACTATTGACCTCCTGATTCCATTCTCTACAATTACAAATCTCTTGTTTGTTCCAGTACATAATAATGTTGTCATATTTGGGCTGGTTCTTCTAATGATGCTCTTTCTTTTCTAAAAGAGGTCCAAAAACAAAAATATAGTTGGACCTTTTGTTTCTGCTGCAAATACCACAAAGGTCTTTAGAGCTCTAGTTCCATCAACCAAAACTCATTCTCACTTGACTAAGCAAAATATACATATATATATATATATATATATATATATATATATATATATATATATATATATATATATATATACATATACATATATATATATATATATATATATATATATATATATATATATATATATACATATACATATATATATATATATATATATATATATATATATGCATATATATATATATACACATATATATATATATATATATATATATGTATACATATATATATATATGTATACATATATATATATATATATATGTATACCATGGCCTACTTAAATACACGGCCTTCTATTCTGCTTAAATCGGAAAAAAATAGAAGGCCAGTTAAAATAACGCATATTTTGTCGGATGGACAATCTTTCTAAAAATATTTTAATTATTGAGTTATGAATTTTAAGTAAGTAAATCTGGCACGGGATAAAAATTTTTGCGTTGGCTTAATCGAAATATCTACTAAACCACTAAACTTTGTATACTTTATTGAGGCTTCTTTTTAATAATAAATCATGATAAATTAGTAATCATGATTAATAAATGCTGTGTTTATTGAAAACAACACAAAATTTATTAACCTTCATAATTACATATTACTTAAATGATTTTATAAAGACATGGGTTATATTTGTTAATAGAATTTTTGTGATATTCAAGGACTGTACAAGAAATAAAAATACACAAACTCTCAAAAGTAAGCTTTAAAAGTATAAACAAAATTGAACACAAACTGATTAAATTTACTGATTAATGCGGGAAAAAAAATGTTCTTATTTTTTTCTCTGTTTTTGTTTAAAGACCACAAAGTTGGTCAATGGAATCACAGACTCTCTTTCTGATGTTATTAAAATAAATATTTGAAATAATAGTGTGTATAATTTCTTTTCCACAATTTTGGTGATTTAAACATAAAAATGGTTGGTAACCTTCTCTACTTCCAAGAACTAACTTTGCTGCTTTACGGTGTTGCATTCGAGACTGATAAATAACATCAAATACATGATCTAGCATAGCAAAACTATCACAGACATATTCTAAAAGGGGTAATGATGGAGTTGTTAGCCCACCTCTGGACAATATATTTAAATAATTATAATCATTCAACTCCTGTTGACAATGTTGAGTACAAAGCAATTTGCAACATTTTAAACTTCTTATTCAGTTTTTTGGCAATAAAACCAGCAATATAACTAGCAACTTCACGAGAATCATCTGATAAAGTCACACAATCTAAATCTCTTTCTTTGATCTGATTCATCAAGGATCTAGCATGTTGTGTATCTTCTACAGCATTAATATCATTTTCGAAAATTTGAATTCCTTCCTTTACTAAACTTTTTATTTGGATTATCTTCTCACTATAAATAACATCTTTCAAACTGACAAGGAACCTGCCACCACTCATTTGGCGGTATTGTCCAAATCTTCTTTTTAACGGATCACTTTGAAAACAAGCAGTCAATATAAATTTATAATTATCTTCTAACAGATCTTCTATTAATAAAGCATGACATAATAAAGTTCTTTGTAGTGCTGATAACGTTTGAGGAGATAGTGTATATTTCTCAAAATTTGGAATTTTTGTGTTTTTCCATTTATTTAACCAGTCAGTGAAAGCTCAAAAAACTCAGGTTTTTTATCAATAATTATAGCAGCATTTCCAAGACAGTTGTTAGAAAACTGATTTTTTGAATTTGTAATTATCCACCATTTATTAAAAAGAGTTAAGAAAGATGCAATATCTAAACGGTCGGGAAAATATGATTTTATTGCTGCTGCTGTAGTTTCATGGAAGATACCTAAAGCAATAGTGACATTTTGCTTGTAGTTTCCAGGATGGACAACTTTGCTATTTATTTTTGGTGCTTTTTTTAAACTTGCATCCAACAGGCTGTCCTTTTCTAATAAATCATGAAATATTTTCCATGATATTTCTCCTGGTTAAACATGAATTTCATCTTTAAAACCTGAAAAATGAAATTCTG